ACAATATTCATTTTTAAGGTGCCGAGTAGACTAGTTTTACTAAAAAAGGTGCACTTCCCTTGTATTTTGCAAGTCAATGAGATCCTCTGTCATCTAAATTAGAAGAAATGTCACACAAAACCACAACCCTCATACCAAACCTCTCTTCACCAGGCAAACAGTTTAAAATCAACTAATCTCTCCAGCTTAATTGCAAAATGTTTCTTTTAAGGGTTCTTCCTGGTTTAAAAATACAAATGTAATCCATTCAGTAAGTGCTCAAGGAATGAGAGAAAGGTAGAAAAATGAAGATCTTGACCCTCAACTCTGAAATCAACCTTAGAGTCTATCATTAGTTCTCCATCCCAAACAGCACCATTGTACTTGAGTCATAAAACTTACTTTTACCTTTCAGTTAACCTTTTTAAAGTTTTTGACTTAAAAAATATGTATAAAAAGTTTCTTCGAAGGGTTGGAAAGATGGCTCAGCAATTAAGAGCACTTCCTGCTCTAACACAAGGCCCTAGTCAATTCCCAGCAACCATGCACGTGGTGGTTCATAACCGCTTGTAACTTCAGCTTCAGGGGATCCCACACCTTCTTCTGGCCTCCACAGGCACCTGTACTCATGTCTCTGTCTCCTCTTCTCCCTCACACACGATTTTTCTTCAGTCTTTTTTGAAAAGTTCAATTTATACTCTCTCCCACCTCCAACAGCAAAAGTCTCTCAGAATCTCATCAGTCATAGATAGACATTTCCATTTTAATCCAAATGGTAAATTTGAAAATCAGCATGTCTAAGTAAAACAGGGCTTGGAAAAGCATATGGAACTGCTCGTGGTGACAGACATATAATAAGAGCTACATGAGAGGCTGAAGTAGGAGGGCTGAAGTTCAAGGCTGGCCTGGGCTACTTAACCAGACCCTGTCTAAAAGAACAGAAAGAGGAGGGGAAAGAAAAATGAGGGGTAGAAGAAAGTATATAACACTGGGAAGAAAATATATTAAAAAGAAGTACCCTAATCAAGAAAACAAAACCAACAAAGGATTGGAAGAACTAACATTGTTTAAAGGTTCTGAATAGTGCTTTACTGGACTATTTTAATGGTTATTAACACCGATTAGTCTACATCTAGTTATAGGCTGGAGAGATGGTTCAGTGGTTAAGAGCACTTGTTGCTCTCCAAGAGGACCCACTTAGATCCCAACACCCAGATAGATAATGGCTCACAGCCACACAGAACTCCTGTTCCAGAGAATCTAATGCCTTCTTCTGCCCTCCAAACACACCAGACATGCATGTGGTACACTTTTATATATGCAGGCAAAAAAATTATACCTATAAAATAAGTCTTAAGATTTTAAAGAAAAAAAAGCCTTTACAAGTATTGTGTCATTCCAATATTCACAGTGACTTCTCCATCTCAGCTGAAAATATAAATATTGAGCCAAGCATGGTGGCCCAGGCTAAAAATCCTATCACTGGGGAGTCTGTGACAAAAACAGAGGCATTGAGAGTAGGCAGCACAAAGCCTGTCCTAAGCAGCCAGACTTGGTCTCCAAAACCAGAAAAGAAAAAGCAACAACAAGTTTCAAGTACTCAAAGGACCCTAACTGGAGCTCTCTTCCTTTAAAGTAAATGCCAAATTGGTTCTCTCCAGGTACCCGTGACACTCCTGCAGAAGTGACACTTCCTCCCAGACTTCAAGCCCAGAACGATATCACCAAAGCTTAGCCAGCCCTCAGGAGGAAGAAGCAGGCAGATCTCTGAGTTCCAGGCCAGCCTGGTACAGAGTGACTTCCAGGACAGGTTACAAGAGAAACCCTGTCTTGAAAACAAAACAAAAACAACAAAACCCAAGGAAGCTCAGTTGCAGCAAACCTGATCTACACAACTGCTTCCTTCACTGTTCCAGTATTTTATCTGTTCTGCACAGCTTACTAGTTCTTCCCACAGGTAGCATCCAAACAAGCTAAAATAAAAGGGTTCATGGAGAGCGCGTGTCCACCACTGAAGACTTCACTGAATGAACACGCACTCCAGGGGATCCGCATGAGACATTAATATCGGCCTAGGAAGGGATATGGGATTGGTATGTGATGGTAACGTTAAATAAAAGTTCAAAGGAGCACCCAGATCACAAAGAGAGAGAAAAAGGTTGGTGTGAAGCAGAAAGAGTATGTTCCCATGTATACATGTGTAATCCATAGAAATGAACGGTGCAAACCACTTGAAACCATGTGGATGTTTCAGAGGTTCCCACTTGAGGTCAGCAAAGGTTAAAAGAAGCTGGCAATGGGACACTGGTAGAGGGAGACTTACTTTCACTGTCTGTCACTTTTGTTTCCTTCCACCTTTGAAACGTGAACTTGTAGAATCTGTCCTTTAAATTTTAAGTTTAGAACCGACCTGACCAGAAATTACACCTACTTTTCTCACCGCATATGGCAGAGGAGTGACAAACCAAAGATGGCTATAATCAGCTACAAGTTAGCCTGGGCTCCACAGCTGGGGACAGCAAGAGCTTCAAAGGTTGCAGGCCTCTTTTCTCACAGCAGGGCTACCTCCTGTTACCTCTCCTCTCCACCCTCTCAATCTCCCTTTTAAGTCACAAGAGTGGCCCAGGACAGAGAGCACTCCTCCCCAAACAACCGAGCCTTCCGTACTGTTTTCCCCAGCTCACTCTTAGGACCCTTACCATCTCCCGGGGCTGTGTCCACACCACTTGCTGTCAATCTTTCCCCGCACAGCATTCCGTCCTCCAAGCCCCACTGGGTTTTGTGGATGTATCTCCCATCACCTAGCATATTTTGCCTTATTTACATGTGAGTCATTTGAGGGCTGGGGGAAAGTGCTCTTCACAGCTGTGTCTTCCAGAGTGCTGAAAATAGCATCCCTGAAAGGTCTCAACGGGAGAGTGCTAATACAAAACCTCCTGTAATACTAAATTGTGTTCTGCAAAGACAAGTTCTGGAGAGCCTCGTAAACAAGATAACTAGTAAGATTTGCAGCTTCTTGTCTATCTAGCTTGACCTTGGCAGGGTTTCATTTTTGTTTTTATGGGGGGGGTAATATATAAATGCCTGTGAGTGGGGTTCAAGGCCCACCACAGTGTCACTCAGTAAAGTTACCTATCACACCGTGGGGGTGGGGTGCTGAAACAAAGTACTAGGTGATAAAGAAAATTCAGTGCACACACAAAAAGTCTGGGCAGCCACAGTACAACCAAAATGAGCATGCCAAAACTCATGAAGAGATGGAAGAAAAACTGCTTGAAATTCAAGTGACAAGTAAGGGCTTGGGGGGGGAGGGGTGGAATGATCAATTTGCATGAGACAAGACTGTATAAAGAAAAAAAATTTCTTAAAAACAATTCTCAAAAAACCAAAAGGCCTTAGGTAATGTTTCATGAAGCAGTATTAACCTTGGAATTTGAACATGGGTTTTGCAAGAAGAAACTTTTTTTGCAGAAAAAAAAACATTAAACAATACTATTGGCTGTTCTATCGATTCAATCAGTGGTTCCTTTTAAAGTCGTGCTACCTCAGACTTAAAAAAAATGCATCAAGGACTACACTATAGTCTTCACTTTTGTCAGAAGCATTCGTCAAATTCTAAGTTGTTTACCCTTTGACTCAAATGCGAAGAGTTTTGAAATTAAACAAGATGTGAACTGAATTCTTTCTGTCCTCCCTTCTTTGGTAAAGAACAGTTCATCTTTACACAGGAGTAGGGAAATGTGAACCTCACCCTTCACTGCCTCCTATTAAACTATTCATCAAAGGACCAGGAGGCTTAATCTACAGCCCCCGGAGTTCACAAATCCCACTGCTTCCTGATGAAGCACAGTGGGAATAATTATAACAAATGAGTTGCATATATTCTACAAACGTAGAATATTAACCCCTCAGTCATTTACAGCCTACTGTAGGCGCCAAACGAGAACTCGGAGATAAGAATCCCACAAGCCATAGTAAATCCAAGTGACAAATTTTAAATCCCGGAGCAACTTTTCATATTTCTGGGGGTTTATAGAAGAGGCATTCAAGTGCAAGGTGAAAGCAACATTTTCTCACAGCTGCCCCAGCCTGAAATGATGTAATAAACGAAGACAGTACTTGTGCCTTGTGAGGTTGCTTATCTCGCACGGGCAGAAAAACTAGAAACCTTGTTTTTAAAATGGATCGCTAAACGGAGAAAACGAGTTCCAAGGAGGCGCTGCCACAGGGATCAAAATGTTTTGCTGCCTTCAGTCATCAAAGGGAACAGTCACCAACCATTAGGTACAAGAAAAGGGGACGCGGCTGGTTTGTTTGCTTCGTTAAATAGCGCCCACGGGAGGGTACCCCATTACCAAATAGCAACATTTCAAAATCGTGTTGTTTAGAGAATAGCTGTCCCAACCCGTTTTTAAAACGCTTAAAATGTCCCCCAAACTCTCGGCCCTATCTTCATCGCGAACCCGCCCACAACATCGCCGAGGTGGACGCGACTTGCCCCGGCTCCTCACAGCTTCGGGTCGCGCCCCGCTGCCCTGGGTCCCCGGCCCGACCACCCTTCCCTCGGCCCTTCTTCCCGGCGGCTGGACCCCTTCCCTCCGCGGCTGGCCGTGCTCGCATCGCCGCTCGGCCTCCAGCCCCCCGCGAGGGTCAGCGGCCCGGCCTCCGCTGCCGGGTCCGGGCCCGGCCACGCCCCCCGCAGATAAAGGGCGACATGGCGGCCCCCTCTCGCCCGCCGCCCCCGCGCCCGGCCCGCAGCCTCGCTCACCCACACGAACAGGCTGTCCGACAGCAGGTACTGGGCCACGTCGCGGGCCCGGGGCCCGCCGGCGGCCAAGCGCGACGGCACGAGCGCCTCGGGCTGCAGCGGGGCCGTTAGCGGCTCCGGCTCGCCTGACTCGGCCTCCGGCTGGCTGAGGGCGCGGTAGGCGCTGACGATGGTGCCCAGCAAGGCCAGGCCGCTGAGGCCCGTGTAGGTGCGGAGGCTGGGCCACGGGAAGCGCTCCAGGAAGAGCAGCGGCATGGCGGCGGCGGCGAGCTCCGACACCCGGGGCTCCCCGAGCTGCGGCCAGGCGCCTGCGGCGGCCTCGCGAACGGCGCCCACGGGCTCTGGCGTCGCTGCCGCCGCCGCTGCCGCCGCCGCCGCCGCCGCCACTCCGGGCCGGGCAGAGCCGCTCCTGACTGCTCGCGCCGCTCCGCCCCGCGCCGCTCCCGCTGCTGCCCCTGCCGGCGCGGAAGAGCCTCGGCGGAATCGGGGCGGGCCGCCGCCCCTAGCGGGACGCGGGCGGGACGGGCGCGGGGGCGCGGCCTTCGTCCCCCGCCCCCAGCGGGCGCGCCGCAGCCCTACGGGCGCAGGACCGGGCCTAGGGCCCCGCGTCCCGGCCCCCTGCAGCATCCTTGGCGACCCTGGGCCCACTGACGCCGCGGACGCGCCCCAGCCGGGCTCTAGAGTGAGCCCGGCCAGTGGGCAATGACGGCAGGCCTGTGTGGGTGGCCAGGCGGCAGGGTGCGGTATGCAGGCCCCTGGCCTCTGGTCTCTTGTTCTCCTAGGTAAAACAGGTAAACCTGGCCCACCACCCTGTGGCCTAGCAGTTTCCATGGTATCCTAACGGGAACATGACGTTTAGGAAATAATAGAAGCATTGACCGCTTCTTTAACCAAGTCTCTGTTTACAAATAATTGCGAGTAGACTATTTTTTAAAACGGAGTCAGTTTAACAGGAAATGAAAATATATTCCCGCTTATGCTACAAATAGAATGTAAATGGTACAGAGAGCTTCTTGGAAAATGCCTGTTCCTCAGAGGCAAACCAAAGAGTGACCATTTGACGCGACAGTTACCTGGCTTAAACATCTAAGAGAAACGAAAACATACACCCACAAAAAAACTACATAGAGGTTGACGGTAGCATTATTACCAGTTACCCAGAGGGGAAAAGCTTCAAATGACTAGTGTTTGAAAATGAAGCACGGATACATGCTACAATATAAGAGAATGTTGAAGACATGCCTGAGTAAGGCACACACAAGTATGTAAATACTGTGTGGTCCCAGTGACAGGGCAAATACATGGAATGTAAAGTAATGACCAGAGTAAAAGGGAGCACGAGACATGGTGTTCTAAAATTGCTGTTATGCACCTAGAGGACTCTGAATTATAAACCATAAACAGTGAGTTACATCGCTATATGTGAAGTACATAAAATAACACAGGGTACACTCTTTTTAGTCATCATATTTCCAAGCCATGCAGTAGTGCCTACCCCAGAATGTATGCTTTCTGTAAATAGCTGGTGGATTTTTCAATTTTTATTTTATTGGGGGGGGTTAGTTGCTTGGTTGGTTTTTCAAGACAGGGTTTCTCTGTGTGGCTTTGGAGCCTGTCCTGGAACTAGCTCTTGTAGACCAGGCTGAGATCCTCCTGCCTCTGCCTCCCAAGTGGTGGGACTAAAGGTGTGGGCTGCCACCACCCAACAGATTTTCCAAATTTTCTAAAGGGGCTAAATTGCCTTTAAAGTATTTTCGTACCAAATATTATAAGTCCGCAGATTTTTGTTTTGTTTACAAGACAAGGTTTCTCTATGTAGCCTTGGCTGTCCTGAAACTAACTCTGTAGAGCAGGCTGGTCTACAAACTCAGAGATCCACCTGCCTCTGCCTCCTCAATACTGGAATTAAAGGGGTGCACCACCACATCCCAGCTCTGTTTCTACTTACAGAAGTAGTAGCTTGTAGCTTTTTTTTTGTTATCTGAAAATTAACAGTCACTTTGTGGTAATTCTTTAAAACACCTTGTATGCTTAAGTTCTCTTTGGCTCTTTCCCCAGTCATTTGCAATGTGGCTCTGCATTGGATAAAGCATTTGCTACAAAGCATGATGACCTGACTTTGATTCCCACAACTCCCAGAAGTTATTCTCTGACTTCCATATTATGTGTGAGCATGCACACACACACACACACACACACACACACACACAAACACAACACTGAGTGCTGTGGAATATTCGTTTAAGATGTGTTACACTCATTTATGCTGTGGAATATTTGTTTAATGATACAAAGATGTTTTGCATTCTTTTATGTTGCATTTGTTTAACTCTGTTAAGCTGTGTTCCTTTGCCTGCCTAAAACACCTGATTAGTCTAAATAAAGAGCTGAACGACCAATAGCTAGGCAGGATAGAGACTAGGCAGGGCTTCCGGGCAGAGAGAATTCGCAGGGATGAGAGTGAAGAGTGAGGACTGAGGAAGGAGAAGAGGAGAATGCCAGGGGCCAGCCACCCAGGCATCCAGCCACACAATAAGTAGCAAAGAAAGATATACAGAATTAAGTAAAAAGCCTGGAGGCAAAACATAGTTAAAGAAAAACAAGATAATTTGTTAGAAAAGCTGGCTAGAAATAAACCAAGCTAAGGATGGGCATTCATAAGTAAGAATAAGTCTCCATGTATTTATTTGGGAGCTAGGTGGTGCCTCTCCCCAAAGAGTTAAAAAACAAAAAAAAACAACAAAAAAAAAAAACTCTACTACAACTGAGCCTTAACACTGTTATCCAAATAATGGAAGAAGAAATGAAGATAGTAATTTTCCAGGGAAATGTTCTACTTCACAAGGTCAGATCTGAGTCACCATGATTTTTAAACCATACTTCTTTGTGATTCACATTCAATCTAAGCCACAAAACAGTAATATTAGATACCAAACTTGCCCTTTCATATTGCCCATAACAGAGCTGCCTTTTTTAATCTCCAAAGCTTGAGCTTTCTGGAAAAAAAAAACAAACATGTAACAGGTAAATTAATCCACACCAGCTGCATTTTAAAAGAATAAAAAAGAATAGTTTTTAGGTTGGTGTGTGTTTTCTCTTTACTAGAATAGTCATTGTTCTATTCCCTTTCCCTTTCCAAAAATTACTTTGCCCCTCATCCTCCTCTCAAGGGCCTGTTTGAGACACTTCTCACTCTAGCCCAGTCTGGCCTCCAGCTTGAGGTAATTCTCCTACCTGAACCTTCTAAATGTTAGAGGATTACAATCATGAAACACCACACCCAACAAGCTCCCATCTATCTGTCTCTGCCTCCCCTTCTCCTCCCTCCCTTTCACCCCTCTCCCTGCACTACTGGAAGGTTATTTTGAATAGGGTCTGGATGGTCTTGAACTCCTGAGCTGAAGTGATCACCCTGCCTCAACCTCCTAAGGAGTTAAGATTGAGGAGCATGCCAGTCTGAGTACCTGTCTCCAAATGGGCTTTGTTTTTTCCAATAAATAAACAAACCTGCTAAAGTCTTTTTTTTTAAAGAGCTATTATTTGTATTTGTGTGTGTGTGTGTGTGTGTGTGTCTGTGAATTTATGTGTAACACGTGTGCATGTGCCCACTAGGTTTCAGATCCTCTAGAACTGCAATCATAGGCAGTTGTGATTTGCTGTGTGGGTGCTTACAACCAAACCTGGGTCTTCTGTTAGAATAGCCAGTGTTCTGAAACTGCTGAGTCATCGCTGCAGCCCCCCCTCTAAAGTCTTAATCAGAAGCCAAATTAGAGTAGCTCACACTTGTAATCCTGTAGATGAACAGCCGCTAATGATATGAACAATATGTAGTTAACACAACTGTGTTGTAACTTTAAGTATCCCATTCTTGAGGCTCTAAATCCAATGACTCCATCAACTGCAGATAACTGAATCTACTAAGGACATGCTAAGGGACAAGAAAAAGGAGAGGAAGCATCCATAGTCCAGACCATCAGTCAGATCCTTGCCACTATGCCAAACTGGCCCTTAACTCGGTAGACTTGACCACAGACAAGAAAACACAACTTCACAGAATCACTCCTGGTACATTAAGTTTAGCAACCCTCCACACCACACAGGACTATCCCAAACAATTAGTTGTTTTGTTTTAAATGCTTTTATTGATATAAAATTTTAAGAACAATGACCATTTCAGTAAAACTTTTGCTTTACAAGTATAAAAATATAACCAAAACTCCAGTTTCTTTATACATTCCTACAAAACAAACCAGGAAAGTGCTCAAAGCCACAACTATAAATGGTACTTGTAAACTATATATGAACACAATGACCAGCTTTTCTGTCTGGGGGGAACATGAACACAGAGCTTTCTAGGCAAGCACTCTACCACTGAACAACATCCCTAGGCAAAGTTCAAAGTTTTTTTTTTTACACATTGCTCTTTCAACAGAACAGTATAATTTATGCATTTCTCCAATTTAGCTCTAGCCTTAATTTCTCACTAAAATACAAAATACATTTAACTGGCTTAATCTTGATATATCTGGGGTTTTGTTCTGGTTAATTTTTTCTTAAAATAGGATATATATGTGAGTTAATATTAAGGTGAATTTAATGGCTCAAACTGAATTAGAGGTTATATTTAAACAGAGGCAAACCCGAGGAAGGTCAGTCTATCCCAAGTAAGTGACAGCAAATAAGCAGATGTGTTGAAAAATCAAATCTAAGCTATAGAAGTTGACTAAGCTTCTTTAATAGTGTAACAAACACTGTTACTCATTCAGTCATTTCATTGACTGAAAATTGTCAATCAGCAATCCGCATACTGTTCCAAACACTAAGAATTAGTAAAAAGCTTTAAGTTAGGGGAACTTAAATATGGAAGAGAGACACCTCAAGTATTTCATCTCAACTCACTAAGCAGGCACTTTCAAAATAAAGTACTAAATGTCATAACTCCGTTGTACACTGAGGGGTGCTCCAACACAAGGGGGACTCTAGCAGGTCTTTAGAAGAACCAGAAGGGAGGGCTGGAGATGGCTTACTGATTAAGAGCACTGACTGTTCTTCCCAGAGAACAGCGATTCCCAGAACCCACATGACAGCTCACAACCATGTCTAACCCCAGTTGCAGATTAGATACCTTCTTCTGGCCTCTGTAGACACTGTACATATATGGTGCATAAATATATACACAGGTATCACACCCATACACTTTTGAAATAGAGAATATAAATTGGCATTTAAGTGTTGTCTACTCTTTTTGTTTTTTTGAGAGGTTTCCTCTGTGTGGCCCTTGCTTACCTGGAACTCTCTTTGTAGACCAGCCTGACCTTGAACTCAGAGATTCACTCACCTCTTTGGAAATTTTTTTTCAATTCCCCAAAAGAGTAGCTCAATCCTAAATATAACTTTAAGCAATTGAGTTAAATAAACACTTTCATTTACTCCCTTTGCTCATTTAAACATTTCCTAGGGTCACTTAGTTTTGTATAGAGCATGTACTATTAGCATTAGTGAGAAAATAACAAGAATGCTTTCATTTGTAAATTACTTTAAAATAAAGTTGGTCAAAGGCTTATTGTAATACTCTCCAAAATTTAGTATATACATTACTGGAATGACACTCTAAGACACCCTAATATCTGAGGGTGATATTACATATCAAAAAAAATCTTAACATTTTGAATACTTTAAAGAACACAGGAAACTTGAACCTAATTTTGTCTCTGTTCAGCAGGAACAAGAGTATTAGGATGCAACTGTAATTGACCAAAGGCTGTAAAACTTTGTGTTCATGAGATGGGAATTTTCTGTTTAAAGTCAGTCCCTTACATCCCAAGCTTAGAACACCAGGCAACTTAAATCAAAGGTCTCAGAATATAAACATCTGGCTCAAGCACTTAGGAAGAGGTAACAGAGGATTTCTGGGTCAAAGTTTAAGTTGCAAGGGACAAGAGTGGATTTAAATCAGATGAATCTTCAACTCAAGAACTGCTTTCTGTTTGTACTCTCTAAATCACAGGTAGAAAAAAGTTCCTCTCTCCACCTTCCCAGGACAGCAATGAGCAACAATGACACCTGAGGTGCTGTACATCTTCTTGAGTGCTCTATCATGGAAGATGAGCCTAGCCAACCTATCCTTGTTTACCTTCCCCAGTCTGAAGGATTAGCTTGACTCTAATCAATAAAACCAAGCTAAACTAGGGAACATGCTAACAGAAGCCACTTGGGGCAAGGCTGTTGGTCCCTGAGGAAAAGGAGTATTCAAGGAACTGGTGGCTTTTCAGAAGAAACCAATTTCACTAGCAAGGCAAGATGCCACTACAACTCTTGGTCATGTATACTACTACTTACCACATTTAAGAGTGGGCATGTCTAGTCCTTGCCACTACCACATGAAGGGCTGACATGACTAAATAAACTTGAATGAATTTAATTCCTCAGCCACTCTTGACTCAACTGCCAAAAAAAACCTAAACAGACTGGACAGGTATTGGTGGCATACCCCTTTAATCCCAGCACTCGGGAGGCAGAGGCAGGCGGATCTCTGTGAATTTAAGATCAGCCTGGTCTACAAGAGCTAGTTCCAGGACAGCCTCCAAAGCCAGAGAAACCCTGCCTCGAATTCCCCCCACCTCCCCACCCCCCACCCCACCCCCCACCCCCCCCGCAAAAAAAAAACTAAACAGACTATTCACATACATTTGCTATTGCCCAGTATTCAGGAGACAGGCCTTGTGGTAGACACCATAAAAATGTGAGAACTAATCAAACTTATTTCTGCTTATTCACAACTTGCTACACCTTGAAAGACTTTTTCATTTTAACAATCCTACAGGCAACATGTCTGCAATAAGCAACTGCGCTGACCATAAGTAATGACACAGTCAGCCAAGCTGTCTTTTTTTCTTGCCTACATGTATGTATATGGACCACATTCATGCCTGGGCTCAGGGTCAGCCATGAATGTCAGATCCTTTGGGACTGGAATTACAGATGGCTGTGAGCCACCATCATGTGGTGCTGGGAACCAAATCCAAGTCCAAGTCCAAAAGCAGCAAGACTTCTGAACCAAAGTCAACTCTCCAGCCCTTAAAAGTTTTCTTTTGGAGGTGAGGTCTATGTACACACATCTTTGCCTCTGGAGTGCTGAGATTAAAGGTGTATGCCTTCACACCCAACCATCTTTGTTCTAAAGCTTTATCCCCATAATTTCATCCTAATTGGGTAGTGTACTGGAATTTAAGTTTGCTATTTACTCTTAAGCTGACAAAACCTGTCCTGACCTCTAGAATCTAGATGATTCAAACCATTCCTCTGTATTGTATTTGAGGTAGGGACTAACTAGGTAACTCAGCTATCCTGGAATTCTTGATCCTCCAACATTAGGCTTCCAAGTGTGTGTACCACCATACCCAGCCTAGTCTAAAGTATTTTTGAAAAACTTCACTGCTTGCTAAAATCAAGATTTTTTATCATTATGTATACAACACCCCAGATTCCCATAATTGTAACTCTGTAATCTAAGAGTTTAAAATCTGATGTTGTTTTGTTATGGTTCAATAAACAATTCACATCAGTGCAAATAGTCACTATCCCATTATACAAAGAAAAACTACTGCAATGAGTTCTAAATGGACCTTTTAAAACCAATTCCAGTGGTTTTCAGCTTACATAATCTTAATGGTTTTTCAAATGTATAATGTCTTTTGACTTGTGAGGTAAGGCCTAGACAGTTATAAAATATACTTGTCATGTAATATACTGGGGGCTCTTTGTAACAAAACTCACTGGAGTTTAGTTTGGTACACTCTGAGCCTTGGACTTAATCAGATAAACTCAGCTATTCAGTTCCCCACAGAAATGGAAACACCTGTAACAGTCTCAGACTATATGCCTACAACAGTATTGGAGCAAAAGGCCCATTAAGCTCACCTCATCTAAACCACAAACATGTTTTAACATTCCCCAGTCTAAACAGGGAAAAAAGGATCCTCAACTATAAGATTTTTCAGAGTTTAATGAGAAACTTAAAAAAATAATAATACAAATAGGAAGTTCACCTTTTTTAATGTACAAAAAAAGTATGAGTAGAACAAACAATTAATGAACACTGTTTACACTACTATCCAGTTCATATTAATTTTACTCTTCAAACAGGAAGGAGGTGGCAATTTAGGGAACAAGAGAAAACCAAAAATTCTCTACAATTCTTCTATGTGTGTAAGCTGTGCTCACAGAGACGGCTTCGTTACTCCTGTGCAGGAATTCAGTTGTATATAAAATTGAACCTGAGTTTAAAAAACAAAAAACAGAAAGCTTTATTAAAAACATTACTAGTTTTACAGTTTCCACCTTAAACAACAAAGGAATTACCCTGGTTTTTCTCCCACTTTGACATGTTTATCATTTCTATACTAAGATAGTTTAGTTTGCCTTCATTGGCCATGCTTATATACTACTTACCATAGAAACATTAACAGTGTAAATTTGGTTAATTATGAACTACAAAAGTTCCTTCAAGGTATAAAACGTTGTTACAAGTCCTTTGTTCTGTGCATACATACGCTCGTGTATATCACTTGAGGATATACACAAGCATATGTTGCACATATATAAAGCAGAGGAGCAAAAGCTGAAGGATGATTAGTGTGACAAGGTAAAAAGGCCAGTTCTGCAATCACCAAGCTTCCACAGAAACTAACACCATGACTGTTAAACTAACATGTACTGAGCACTTCCAGGTACTATGTTCTAAGCACTTTATATGTGTTATGTGACTTGGTCCCCACAGTCCTATGAAGGAACTACCATCCTCATTTGCATATGAAATATCTGGCAAACAAGTATAAGAGTATCTAGCATCATTCCATAATTTCAGTCTTGGGGTTCCTTTAGTGGTATTTTAATCTGTCGATTACATACAACATAAGAATATATTGATTGACTAGGCAATGGTGGCATACAACTTTAATGCCAGCATTTGGAAGGTAGAGGCATGCAGATATCTTATGAGTTCAAGGCCAGACTTGTCTATGGCACTAGTTCTAGTTCCAGAACAGCTAAGGCTATACAGAGAAATCATGTTTCAGAAAGGGGAAAAAACATTGACTATCTTTATTTTTCCTTAAGCCCTAAAATTTGTGAACTATCACTTCTCAAGTGGCTCTATTTTACATAGCTCCATCAAAAATGTTCAACTTTCCATACCTGCTCAACAGCTGAGGAAGGCTAGAAATGATGGGTCCATATCCTGGTGCATTGTCATACAATTCAAACAATGGTGCGGCCACCAGCTTGTAATTTTTTGGGACTGCAAACAAGGCTACAAAAAGAAAAAAAAAAGTATTCAATTTCTTTAATCTTCCACATGATTCTTACTCCCATTCTGTGACTAATCGACTTTACACTTGAGAAAAGCTGTCATGTGTATTCACCCATGCAAGCACATGTGAAGGCGAGAGGTGGCATCAGGGTGTCTTCTCAACCCCCTCCACCTTATCTTCTTAGTTTCTCGGTGAACCTGCAGCTCACTGTTTTGGCTAGACTTGCCGACCAGGGAGAACCCCCAGATTCTACCTATCTGTGCATAGCAGTCTGGGCTTAACAGAGGCATACCACCACGATCTTCTTACATGAGTGCCGAAGAGCCAAACTCAGGTTCTGAATCTTGCACAGTGAGCACTTTACCTGAGCCACCTCCCCAGGCCTGAGAAAACTTTTAAGGAAAAAGGCAATTCTCATTCATCATTTTGGGTTGTCTAGTCTTCTACAGATTACAGAAATATATTTGAAACTTATCCTCTCAAGAGAGAAATGCCAATAAAAACCTTAAAAAGCAAGATGTGAATTGCCTTGGGATTGTAATTAATTTTTAATTCTCGTATAAAACTATTGCAAGAAACAGAGCCAGACATTGTGACAATTCCAGCACTCCAGAAGCTAATGCAGGAGGATCAAGATTTAGAGACTTGTCGGGGTGCTGGTAGCATACCTTTAAGCCCAGCACTCAGGAGGCAGAGGCAGACAGATCTCTGTGAATTCGAGACCAGCCTGGTCTACAAGAGCTAGTTCCAGGACACCCTCCAAAGCCATAGAGAAATCCTGTCTTGAAAAACCATAACCAAACAAACAAACAAAGATTTGGAGACTTGCCTTCCAAGCATAAGGAAAAGACTTTAATCCCCCAAACTCATATGACATGTGTGCTTATAATCCTGGTGCCAGTAAAGTGGAGACAAGAGACCAGCCAGTTTAGCCTAATTGATGAGCTCCAGGTCAATGACAGCATTCCTAAGGATACTCAGAGAGGAGGGGAGGGGAGGGAGAAGAAGGGTGGGCTGGCAGGCAGGCAAGCAGGCTGGCTGAAAAAATGACACAGCAGCTAAGAGCAATTGCTATTCTTCCAGAGGACTGGAGTTTGGTTCCTACCACTTGAGTGTATATGTGCACACACACATACGCCCAAATTAAAGAGAGAAAGATTGATCTGACTGATTTGGAGCCAAGCCTGGGCTACATATCAATATGAAAAGAACAAAGGAACAAAAGCCAAGGGTGGTAGTGAAAGCCTGTGATCTCAGCACTTGACAGGGAAGGTGTTAGGATCAGGAGTTCAAGGTTTTTGGGGGAGTAGGGGGATGGGATGTTGGGGTGTAATAGCTACTTGTTAAAACATAACAGGTCTGAAGACTTTTTAAAAGACAATCTTGAGGTTTTTAACCTTACCACTATGTAAGAATCAATACTAACTAACAACTGAACAACTACAAAAAAATTACTAAAAATACAATAACCTCATACTTCAAGCTCTAGTTAGAACTCATTGCCCCCTATATCATGACTGGCACAAAGAGAAACTAGGTGATTTTGCCTAAGTGTTTTCAGTCTTACAGTGAACCTATAGCTATTCAAGGAAACTGGAGGAGACAAGGAGGGAACCTTTAGGGCGCATTGCAAAAGCTTTTAGACAGCGTCTTCCAGACAAATGCCTTACCTTTCTCTTGAAGTTGAACCAGAAACAACTTCTTATGTTCCTTGGGCTTTGTAATATGTGCAGGAATATATGGATACTAAAACAGAAAATAACATAGGTTTCAAGCATCACTATTCCTTATACCTCATGTCTTAGTTATCAAGTTTTCCAATCAGACAAAGCTCAGCTATCCTCATATCCTAACTCAGTTTTACTGTAACACACATGCCATGGCTTCATTTAGTTCTCTGCATGTCCACTTCCCAGTATACTTACTGCTGGTAGTACACTACTGTCTCGTTTCCCTTCGCTAGACTGAACACCTACATAACAGACACATTAAATAACAAGCAAGGGGGGCAGGAGAGATGGCTCAGTGGTTAAGAGCACTGACTGTTCTTCCAGAGGTCCTGAGTTCAATTCCCGGCAACCACATGGTGGCTCACAACCATCTTGAATGAGATCTGGTGCCCTCTGCTGGCATGCAGGCAGAAGACTGTATACACAATAAAAAAAAAAGCAAGAAACCCACAAGCCATTCAAGTAAAGCAGTCAAAGAATGTATGACTGGGGAAATTGACAACACAATCAGCCTTTAGTTTTAACAAAAGTTGCTGATGCCATTTGTAAGTTCTAGAATCCTGATGTGGTCATGTTAGGCCATGAAAACCTTAAAGCCTCTGAGTTATTCCAGAAGATGCTCTTTGCTTTAAGAACACAAGATGAAAGCCAGGCGCGGGCGCTGGTGGCGCACACCTTTAATCCCAGCACTCAGGAGGCAGAGACAGGCGGATCTCTGTGAGTTCGAGGCCAGCCTGGTCCACAGAGTGAGTTCCAGGACAACCTCCAAAACAAAACAGAGAAACCCTGTCTCGAAAAACCAAAAACAAACAAAAAACACACACACACAAGATGAGCTAAGTGGAGTTCTGCCAGCTGGGCAGATTCTAACTGCTGGGTAAAATAGAGAAAATAATTAGAAAAATTAAAGAACAGAAAGAACTAGAGAAACTACTGCTTGAGAACATTTGGCATAGAGATTCTCCTTCCTTTATCATGTCTGTATTATACAAATCTCTCTAGTGCCCAACAATATATTCAGAAATCTGTTTCCTTTTAGGGTTATATTTGAGGGCAGAGGATTTACAAAGTGCTGAAGAGAGACATACAGGAAGAGGGGGCTAAAGGCCATGGCGGCCAAAACAGGTAGAACATTCAACTCAATTTACATAGGAACTTCCACAAATTCCCCAGTTTAGTGAAGCCACACCGACACTACATCTATGCAGCCCTTAAGTCATTACAAAAGCCTACTGCTATTCCTCACTGGCATCCAACCACTACTGGAATTAGGATAGTTATACATTGGCACTACCCCTAAAGGACAAATGAAATGAAGCAACTATCCCAAGATTTGGAGATCTATATGAAAACCAGAATATTAACAGTGGAGGGATAAAGAGGTAAGGAGTTCCAACACACTTGAAAAATACACCTCTGCTTCACATTCAACAAAGCATGGCCAAACAAAATAATTTCCTTCTATTTGTAGCTACCCCCTTTCTAAAAGGCTGTCTCCAGTCCTGGTCTTAATAGCTAAGCCAGTGCGTTTTATAGGAAAAAGACTAAAATAAGCAAATAAAATGAAAACAGGCAAGTTGGCGAAAGCTGAATAAACAGCATTTTATTTAATCCTAACTTCCAGGGTCAACCTTAGGCTTTAGTGTGGTAAAGGAATAGCCAGCAATAGAGCCATAGTAGAGGAGATAAAGGAGGACATTCAGAAAACAGCCCGAAGACTTCTGAGTTATCACTGAGTACTTTCCTTTCCATTAGATAAAGGAATGTCTAAGAAACCAAAGCCTGTTCAGAATAATTGCCGTACATATCTTTGAAATAGCAACTTCACCATCTGTGTATGAAAATTTGCTTCCTAACACCAGGACCCAAATGTATTGTGACAACTCTCAGGAACACCAAGTCCACAGAGCCTCATCTTTAGCTACACAAGGTGGTCAGGAGAGGACAGAACATCTTTTGCTGGTCAATGCTGTGTAACACTGGACCTGGAGCACACTGTCAGGAAAAGAAACTCTCCAATAATAGGACTTTTGATCTGTCGAAAGAATTAAGGACCAACCTTAGAATGCTGCCTTACTAGCTAAAGTATGAAAATCTGAGCATCAATATTATTATCATCATTATAGTGGACTTAAACAGCAAATATATTTAAGCTCATATGGTTACACCAACACTGGAATGAGGTGTGTACCAACACTGGAATGAGGTGTTCATGCCCGTATCAAAGAATCTCCCTCTCCCTCAGATGTCAGGGCAAGCATATTTGGAAGTATCAGAAAATGTCCTCTTGCTCTTATAGTTTCACTCTGCTTTCCAAAAACCTCCAAGCTTTTCGCAAAATTGTAGGGGAATTCACTCAAGTCTTGCCTAAAGGGGGATTTCCATCTTTCTGACAATTTGAAGAGATGCTTGACATCGGTTCCTTAACAACCTTTAGCAGTACTAATTATGGCTATAACGAGATCAACACTATTACATGGGATTTTATTTGGCTTTGCTCTGTTGTTGAAGTTTTTGTTTTATTGAGGCAGGGTTTCATGTTGCTGGAACTGGCCTAGGACTCAGTATATAGCTAATATTGGCCTGAACTCCTTAGCTTTCTGCCTCTATCACCAGAGTACTGAGGTTATAGGCATGTAACACCACACCTGGCTTTTTATTTATCTTTAACACTGGCTGCTTCTGGTCCCCCTCTCCCTATACTTTGCTACTTCCTAATTTACCTCTCAAGCAATCTGTATTCACGTCTGTACTACTCACCCCATAATATATCTTTGAAGAATGAATACATTCTCCTGAAAACTTAAGAGAGGGAAAGCAGCAGCTACTATTTCCTACAGAACCATATACCCCACAATAACTAAAGAGTTGTGAGGTTGTATCTCCAGTGACTTCATGACTGTAGGAAATCATCATCAATGAGCTGTTATTACAAAAACCAACCAGATAGTATAAAAAAGATGTCTATACCTCCTTTGAGACAAAGTCTCACTAGTGTAAGCACTAGCTGCCCTAGCATCCCCTGCTAGCCTTGAACTCACAGAAATCCACCTGCCTCTGTCACCTAAGTGGTAGAATTTAAACAAGCATGGGACAAACCAGCTGGGCAGTGGTAGTACACGCTTATAATCCCAGCACTGGGGAGGCAGAGGCAGGCAGATTTCTGTGAGTTGGAAGTCTACAAAGCAAGTTCCAGGACAGTCAGAGCTGTTACATCGAGAAAACCTGTCTTGAAAAATAAAACAACAAACCATGACCCATGGAGACCAGCATTCACACCTATAGACTCTGTCCCACTATGGATCAGAGTGTGACAAATAGAATACAGAAGTGATCACAGTATTTATTCCTGGCATACAGATGGACTCTGGGAACCCATACCACATGGAGGGATGCTCTCTCAGCCTGGACACATGGGGAAGAACCTAGGCCCTCCCCGGGATGATGTGACAGATTCAGAAAATCCCTCATGGAAGCCCTTGCCCTCCCTGGGGAGCGGAGGAGGGATGGAGTAGGGGTGAGGGGTTGGGAGGATTGGGGGGTGGAGGAGGAGCAGAGGGAGAGGGAACTGAGAGTGACATGTAAAAAGTTAAATAAAAAAATATGAGGAAAAAAAGTGATCATATGCCACTGCCAAGACCAGGAAGCTAACTGACCACAGCTCCCACTTGGGCACTCCCTGACATCATTTCTTACATTCTCTCAATTACATGCTCTCTAGGGAAGGTAGCTGCCCAAGAGGAAGTTATTCTTCAAAGATGACAAAAAATTAAGGGAAGCCCTATGTCAACAACTGGCAAAAACTCTAATCTAATAGCCAAGAAAGTCTGCATGCATGTGAAGTAGGAAATTAGATCCTTCTCCTGCTCTGATTTATGATGCAGGCCCAGTTGAGAATCTATGACTTCATGAAGCCTAGAAAATTTCAAGGTAATAAATATCTATGCTTTAGGCTACTAAATTTGGAGGTAGATTGAGCATTCCTTATTAGAAATGCACAAGATCAAACTGCTTCCAATTCTGGAGGTTTGTAAACTCTGGAATACTTAACACTCATGAGTATCTACAACTTAAAGCCACAATGTTTACTAAATCTTAATTAAGATGCCAAGAAAAAGAAATTAAAAGTCAAGGTCTATTTTGATCTTTTTTAATTTAATTGTTTCTACTTGTTTGAGAGGTGGGGTTGTTTTCAGCACCTATGTGGTGACTAACAACCATCCTAACCCAGTTCCAAGGGATTCAATTTCCTCTTACCCCTTTGGACATTAAGTACATATATATACATAGGCAAACACTCATACACATGAAAGGGAAAAGTTGTTTGGGTTTTTTGTTTTTTGAGACAGAGTTTCTCAGTGTAACAGCCCTAGTTGTCCTGGAACTCACTATGTAGACTAGGCAGGCCTCAAACTCGCAGAAAATCACCTGCCTCTGCCTCCCAAGTGCTGGGATTACAGGCATGTATCACCACTGCCCAGTTGGTTATTTGATTTTAAAAATGTTTATTAAATCAAAATTAAGTAAATGAAAATAAGAAATGGGAAGTCATGGTGTACTTTGGTTATTTTGTTTTGTTTTCAAAGTTTCCACTCACTCTGTGTGTGTGTGTGTGTGTGTGTGTGTGTGTGTGTGTGTGTGTGTGTGTGTGTGTGTGTGTGGTTCCATCATGTTAGTTCTAGGGATCAAACTCAAGTTATAAGGCATGATGGCAAGCTCCTTTTCCTGCTGAGTCATCTTGTTGGCCCTGATCTTTATTTTTATATTTATTTATTTGGTTTTTTGATACAGGGTTTCTCTGTAGCTTTGAGGTCTGTCCTGGAACTCACTTTGTAGATCAGGAAGGCCTCAAACTCACAGAGATCTGCCTTTCTCTGCCTCCCGAGTGCTGGGATTAAAGGCACGTGCCACCACCACCCATTGACCCTGATCTTTTTTAATGTCTGGAATTAGGCGAGTTTTCTGCTTAACCAAATGCCTGGTAAACACAACTGAACACTGACCTGAGGAGGTTCAAAATTTGGTCTCCACCAGTTACCAATGCAGTCATCGATGACCCAGTCTTGCAGGACTCCATCTTGACGACCCAGTATCTGTGAAAAATAGTACAGTGACTAAACTAAACACACACACACAAGAATATCTTTCTGTGGTAGAGAATTATTTTTAGTGATACTCCTAACACAGTCATCAGTCAGCTAGTGTCTTCCTGATAGATTTCCTCTGTGCAATTTATTACCCATTTCAATCTGTCAAGATAATACACCATTAGTTCAAAATCTAGTATCAACCTAACAAAAGAACCAACAAAGCTGGATGTGGTAGCATATACCTTTTCTCCTACATTCAGGAGGCAGAGGAGGGTGAATCTCTGTGAGGTCAATCTACACAGCAAGCTCTGGGCTGCATGGTGAGACTGTCTCAAAAAAATCTGTCCTTTCTCTCTGGCTATCCATGGAAAACCAAAGATGGCAGTTAACATCAGCAGACTAGCAGAAAACAGGTTTTCTGTAATTTCTACAAATCATCTACCTAAAGTTACAAAAATGTAAATATTTCATTCTCACAAAAATCCCATTATTATTTTTTGTAACATAACATGAACTTGTTTTCATCAAGTTAAGACTCGGGCTGGAGAGAGGGGTCAGTGATTAGGAGTGGTTCCCAGCACCCACATGGTGACTCACAATAGCCTGCACCTCCTGTTCTAGAAATGTAACCCCACATTTCTGGCATCCAACACACACGGGGCACAGACATACATACATGCAGGCAAACTATCAGACACATTAAGTAAACTCAGTTATATTCTACCCATTTCACTGGTCAAAATGGTTCTACAAAGTTCAGAATAAGAATGCAATGCCCTGTCCTGTTTCACTCACTCCCAACTGGCTATAGCACTCAGCCCCTAGTTGTTTACCCCAGCATTTGTCTCTACGTTTAAAAGTATTCTTTTGTTTCACACATTAAGAAACCCTCCAAAGATGGGCTAGGAACTCCCCATAATGCTCACACCTTTCTGTACTGTTTCCATCTTACATGAGTGTAGCATATTTGTTAAAAAAAAATGAAAAAATAAACATTATACCAAGGAAACCCATAGTTTTCAGGTCTCTTTAATTCTGAACCTAATGTCCCATTTCAGGCCCAGGATCCCATCTAAGATACAATACATGTGGTCATCACTTTCTCTGAACTGCTCTAGACAATATAGTTCTGTAGTTTGATGATCTTGACTGTCTTGAAGAATACCAGTCAGGATTTTTAGAGTATTTCTCAGTGAGACTGAGGTTACAGATTCCAGCAAAGAAGACAACAGAGGTAAAATGCCATTCTTTTATCAAATCAAATCATATCAAAGGCTCATGCTATCAGCATGACTCCCCATTAATGTGAACCATGATTACCTGGCTGAGGTAATGTTTGCCAGATTCACCTCCCTCAACAACAGATCAGAATTTAGGTATTAAAACCATAGTGCTCATTCATGTCTTTCCCTATCACCCTCCCATTATCAGTATCTGATTAACTAAGTATTCAGTCTTTAAATTAATGACTACATCACAAAAGAACTAGTAAACTAAATTAAATTAGACGACTATCCTCTAGAGTTACTGCTGCATTTCATTTGCCATCACCAGATTGATTTCCCCCACTATCTGAGAGCTTAGGCTTGCACTCACTATCTGTCTTCACTTTCCTGTATTGTCTGCTCTGCTCTGCGCACAGTCCAGTTCATAGCTGGGTACTAGGGCTTTCTTTGGCCCTTCCACAGAGTGGGACCTTAATGTTTTGATTATTATTATATCATCTTTCTTACTTTATCCCTTCATCTTGAAATGTCTGCAAATGGTAAAATAATTACTTCTCCCACGGTTGCTTTATAGTTATATTAGAGAGTTCTGGTATGTAAATCATATTAGTATGAAGGCATGGTTCAGATTTTTGAGTTTCCTGTATTACTTTTGGGAGATCTTGGACTGGTCACTCTCTTCAGAGCAGAAATCTGCAGCCTTCTGTACAGAGTAACATTCTCTGCTCTATTGTTCTGCTTCACTCTGCACAGATGCTCTCAACGCAAAGACCACTCATTACTTAGGATGAAAGCTTTCAAATATCCTCCCCATCTCCTAAACTTTTACAGCTAAGTGTTGGCTTATTCAGTTCCTACAGAATAAGTCCTCAGTCCATCACTGTTCAACTGGACAGAGTGGGAAAAACAGAGTAGATAGATAAATGTACCCTTTATAGATTCAACCAATCTGGCTCATGGATGGGCTCACTGGCCCTAGCACCTAGCACCTACAATTCCTTAGCCTTTCTTCTTCAGTGCTGACTCTATGCTGTCCTCCCGCCGAGCCACAGTTCCTGCTAGCTTTGCTATGGGGAGCCCAGCTACCTTTCATCTCCTTCCAACTTACTGTTACTATTTTATTTATTATTTTGTTAATGCCTCACTTTGCCTTCCTTAAATACTACTACTAAATTTATACCTTTTAAAGGTTTCCTATCTCCTGACTTTTTGGTAGATTTTTCCGAAGAACCCGTGGAAAATTGAGTAGATTTCCTCTGGTTCTTATGAAAACTTCAAAAAGACAACTTACCATTATTGTTTCATCAATAATTTTGTTTCATTTTATCTTATTTAGCAACAGGTCTCACTCTGTGGTCCAGCTGGCATAGAACTCACTATGTAGCCTAAGTGGTCTCAAACTCAAGGTAATTCTTCTGCCTCAGTTTCCTAAGCACTAAAATTAGAGATGCTTATTTTGCAGAAAATAAATATACTAATTAAGGTTTAAGTTGTATTTTCTGACTACTAGCTATTCAAATTAAACATATTTTCACAAGACACATGAAAACTCAATCATTAAGTTGGTGGTATTCAGATGGACAATAAAATTGTTGAAGTGGTTAAACAGAAAAATACCTCTGTCATTAAGCGTTTTAATCCTTCAACTTCATCTTCTCCTGGGTTAAGTTCACCACCAGGTCTGTATAAAGGTTAAGAATTTAATACAATTTAGGAATAACATAGCAAGAACACAATAATCATCACTTCTCTCTACCAAGTAACTGAATAAGCATATTTCAGTGCCATGTGATGAGCAGTCAAACAAGGACTGAAGGTTGGAGATCTACTGTGAAGTTGAACACATAATGTTAAGTACCAGACAATCATATACAACCCTTGTTTTACCCAGAAAAGCCAGTAACCACCACAGCCTCTTCACAGGAAAGTTATATATAATGGAGTCTAGCAAATACCCAGAGAACAGACTGCATTCTTTAGGTCTGAGGAATAGTTCACTTTTCAAAAATATCAATTTAGGGGCTGGAGAGGTGGCTTAGTGGTTAAGAGCACCAAGTGCTCTTCCAGAGGTCCTGAATTCAATTCCCAGCAACCACAAGGAGGCTCACAACCATCTGTAGTGAGATCTGGTGCCCTCTTCTGGCCTGAAGGCATACATACATGCAGGAAGAACACTGTACACAAAATAAATAAATCTTTAAAAAAAATCAAATTAGTTTTGAGGATTTTCTTTTTGGCACACTCTTATCAGTGGGTAAGTATTTAGAGTTATGGGCTCAAGTGGCTCTATGAAAACAACTGCTTTCAATAATGTTTCTATCACTCCTAGAAACTGAGTTTGGGCTGATTTCTACTTTGGAAAGGAAGTAAACACCACACTGGAGAAAACCATGACTGTTTTCTTTCAAGACTCTTTTGTAGCATTTGTTTAAATAAATACTTGTGTTTTAAGCTACATTAAAAAGCCACTCTATTACAAGCTGTGGTGATGTTAATTTCCAACACTACTTACAATTTGAAGAAAGTTGTTCCCAGCTGTAGCAGTAGCACATGGGGTAGCCGGTGCTCATGTACAATCAGAACCCCTTCTACAGTCCTTCTCATCCCAATTTTATCAAATTCCTCCCGCATACGCTGAAAGCGGGCTGCAACAGAGCTGTCCTTCTCATAAAGGGGCTCTTTTGTACCAAAGGTATAATTGGTAAGTGGGTACCTGTGAACCAAAGACAAACATTTAGCATGAGAACAGATGATCTTATTTACCAGGACAGTTCAAAACAGCATACAAAACAGGGGTCAAAGCTACATTGTGCTCAAAGGCAACTGGCCCAAAGTTTCACAACCAGCTATGAGATAGCAAAGATGAGAATACTGTTGCTACTCTTGAAGCCAGAACTTCCATGAATCAAGCACAGACAGCACTGTCCTTACTAAGATCCCTGAAATGCTTATAGAAGTGGCTATCCACACTGGTTTTAATCATTTCAATCATTTCACCACACTCACCAAATGACCTGCCTGGTTCTTCTGATTAACCTATTTATAACTTCTATTAACTAAATGGCACTACAGCTAATCTCTTTTCTCTCATATGTGAGCCACCACTATCAACATCTCTTGCTTTCTTTTTAATTTTTAAAAAACATGTGTACACATCTACATATGGTGTTCTATAACGTGTACAGAGGTCAAAGGATAACGTGTGTGAGTCTGTGCTCTCCTTTTACCATGTGGGTTCTGGGAACTGAACCTCATAACAGCAGCCTTGGCAGCAAGCACCCTTCTTACCTCAAGAGTCACCTCACTAGTCCTTCTCCAACTATTTTCTGTCTCTCACAGCAATACCTACATTTTGCATTTTGAAAAAAAGATTTATTTATTTATTGTGTATATAATGTTCTGCCTGCATATATGCCTGCATGCCAGAAGCCAGTACCAGATCTTATTACACATGGTTGTGAGCTACCATGTGGTTGCTGGGAATTGAACTCTGGACCTTTTAACCTCCAAGCCATCTTTCTAACCCCTGCTTGTTTTTTGAAATACAGTTGTCCTGGAACTCAGACCAGTCTGCCTTTTCCTCCCAAGTGCTGGATTAAGGACATGCACCATCACAGTGACTTAGACCTGTTTTCTTTTCCCCGAGTTTGGCATTTACACTATCCAGTATGCTTACTCTTCCCACCAGTATCTAAGCTGGATAGCCTCTTTTCCCTATTTAGAACCCAAAGTATGATTTAAAGTGCTAAAGACTCCATCTTGCTTAGTAATGACCAAATTTTCCTTAAAGTTTAAAAATCTACATTTATATTTTATCACATTCTACTTTGCAGCCCCTAGATTATAGTTTTTTTTCAATAAGATTGTTTTGGCTGAACACAAAGTATCCCATCTACCAAAAATAGTAACAACAAAACTCTTGATATTGGGCTGAGAAGACAGTAAAGTGCTTATTAAGCAAGCATGAGACCCTAACTTCAATCTCCAGCACCCACAAAAACAAACAAAAACCCAGTCAGCACCTAACTGCGCACGGATCTCCACAAGATCCCATGGTACCATGTGAGATCCTGTTCTCAGACAAGGTGGAAGGTAAGAACTGACACCTGAGACTGCCCTGACTTCCACACATGCTATGCACAGCCACAGCCAGTCACAAATGCTGCGAACACACACATCCGCTCCACATACTCACCCTCACATACACACATACGCTCCACATACTCACTCTCACATACACAAGTGCACACATCTACAGGAATGCATGTAGCACAGGTGTTGGGGAAGTCCTGTGCATTTGTCAATAAAGCACTGTCTGGCCAATAGGGAATCTAGATAGGAGGGACTAGGAGTCCAGAAGGACTCTGGGTAAGAGAAACACAAGAGTCGAGATGTAACCGCCATGGGGTAGGAAGCCCGGAACTATTCTCCGGTAAGAGACATACTTAGATTAACAATTATGGGGTAATTACTTAAGTCTGAGCTAGCCAGTAAGAAACAAGCAAGGCCAACAGCTTCATAATTAATATAGCCTCTTGTGTGTTTATTTGGGACTGATGCGGCTCTAGAGCCAGGCTGCCGGGAAGGCTTCTCTCAAAGAAAAAGCTTCTCTTTACACACAGGTGCATCACACACAAAACTCTAGACATTAATAGACAACTACATACACTCCTCTGTTCTTGAGAAGGAAAATCAAGGTAACCAAAAGAGAAACACTAATTCCAGAAGTCAAATTCTGAGCATAAGCAAAGTAGTTCTAAGATAATGAAAATATACCATTTTCAGGGGTCTTTAACAATTACAAATAATCTTGCAGCAGATCCAAAAATCCATCTAATATCATTATCAGGACAAAGTTACATTTATTGCACAATGCTTCAATGTGTTAACATTTGGTTTTCCCAACCTGCGTTAGAAAGAATTACGACCAGCCACAATACATTTGTATTGCAAGGGCTATCTCCTACATAAGATCCCAGCATAATGAAACGTTAGAATTCCAGCTGTGAAATCTGAGCGATAGACCACACAGAGCATATTCTCCACATCATACTGTGGGCATTTCAAAGTACAGTGTGCATCTTACTCACCCATCTGAGCACCTAGCCCTATGTATACACACTATGTGTAACAAAAGCACCCATTCAGTTTTCCCTAAATGAAAATATACAGCAGAAACAAAGACCTACTATATACTAAATGCTGTTTAGTATATAGTTCACCCAGGTGGACTCAAGTTCACAGCAATTTATTTCTCAATACTGCATTAAGCAGGAAGTGAAAAGTAACATGCTCACCAGTAAACATCTCTTAAAGCACACCTATTTCAACAATTCTACACAGTGGCCTGATGTCAACTGACCGAGGAATCAAGGAAAGTTAAAACTGGTGGTCCGCCAGGCGGTGGTGGCACACGCCTTTAATCCCAGCACTCGGGAGGCAGAGGCAGGCGGATCTCTGTGAGTTCGAGGCCAGGCTGGACCGACAGCCTCCAAAACAATACAGAGAAACCCTCTCTCGTAAATACCAAAAAAAAAAAAAAAAACAAAAAACAAAAACAAAAAACAAACCAGTGGCCCTCACTCATCACCGAGTAATGTAGAACTTGTGCTTGCAGTTTTTACTTTTTCAGGTGCTAGAGATGGAGCCTGGGGCCTTGAATACACTAGGTAAACTACCAGTTAGCAAACCCCTCATTCATTTTTTAAAAGAGTACTTGCCTTCTCCATTTAATAGGAATCTTTGTGTTTTGTTTTAAGAGACAGGGTTTCTCTGTGTAGCTTTTGGAGACTGTCCTGGTACTCGATCTGTAGACCAGGCTGGCCTCAAACTCAGAGATCCGCCTACCTTTGCCTCCAGAGAGCTAGGATCAAAGGCGTGTGCCATCACCACCAGGTTCACAGGAATCTTATAAGCATAATAGGAAATTAAAGTGCAACTATGTTTTTTGGTTCAAAAGTTAATTTGCAGAGGCATACTTAATCAGCTACTTCCAGATTTCACAAACCTCATTATTTTATTGCCTAAGTTTCCAGGCCAGCAGTTGTTTGGCCTGACAGTAATCTTAATTTTATGTCACATTTGGTTTTAGAAGGAAAAGTTCATTTACTTGAATACAAAAGCAAGAAACACAATGGTGATTTACCAAAACACCATCAGCAAAGTGTTGCCCTTTTTAAACACATAACCAGCCTGAACTGGCCACTTTCTTCCATTAGCATCAGCTCCAACTGGCCAGTGGGATTCCAAACACTGAGTGAGCTATAAAGCTATATCCCAATCCCAACTTCTTGCTACACCAAGATTTTTGGGCGAGATCTCAAAAAGCAATGATTTGCTTAAGAGAAAGGTGTGTTGAAGACAAAACCAGCTCACAAACAGGCTCTCTGGGCAGCATGTAAGCTACCTCCAGCAGTCTGAAAGGACACCAGACAACAGAGTGTGTACTCTCAGTCAAGGTCTACGGGGTGCACGCGACGATAGTGTCTCTTCGTCAGACAAGACGTACGAATGCAGGAGGTAGACCGGACAGCACGAATACTACACAACACTAAAAGAAAAAAAACAAAAACACAAAAAACCTAGGCCGTTAGAGGTAAATCTGGAAAACCTACTCTAAAAGAAATCTACACTCTACGAAATTATGGTTACTCATTTCAAATAAAAACAAATACATGTGCAATGAAAACAATGGGTTGAAAGGACACACACATCACGATGAATTCAAAGCAAACATGGGTTCTAACCATGACTGAATAAAGGAAAGGGGGAACAAATCTCTCTTCAAAATAGGAAGACTGCCCGGCAAATCCGGGGCGAGAAAGCTGTCTGGGAGAGAAGAAAGCGCGCATCCCGGAAGGGACACCCCGCATCCGGTGAGAGGGAGGGCGCTCGGGGACTGATGCGCCCGCCGAGGCCTCGCCGCAACTTACAGATTAATGGTGCGCTCCAGGGTGAGGGGCTTGGTCTGCTGGATATACTTGTTGCCGAACTGGTTAACCCCCCGGGGCCAGCCCGTCTGCGAGCGATTCGGCGGCACCACAGACATGCTGAACAGCTCCGACACAGGAGACGTGCAGAAAGCGGGGGCCAGCGGAGACTTCCGCAGGGCGGGCAGCGGTTATCTGCGTCCCGCTCAGCAGCCGCCGCCCGCCATTAACAGTCGAGAGCAAGAGGAGGCGAATGCACGCCGGAAGTGGATAGGCTCTGGCGGCAGGAAGTGGAAGGTATTCCACCCCGACCGTTCGGCCAATCGCTGGCAAGTGGCGCAGGATGTTGATCTTCCATTGGTTAACTGTGGATAGATCCAGCCTCCTGGTTCTTTGGTGCCTTCCCATTGGGTGATGCTGGGACGAAGGAGTGTGGCATTTTGGGAACTGTAGTTTCTGGAGGGAAATAGTGTGTCCTGACTTCCCCCGGCGTGGAACTGTGCTTGGTGAGGATGAACGGGAAGCGGCCCGCGGACCCCGGCCCAGCGCGGCCAATGAAGAAGGGAAAGAAGCAGGTAGCGGCGGCGTTTTCGGACGCTGTCACGGAAGAAACAGTGAGGAAGCAGGTGGCTGAGGCCTGGAGCTGCCGGACGCCATTCAGCCATGGTAATGGGGTGCTGGGAGGGGGGAGCGGCCGCGAGAAGAGGTGTGGGTGGGAAGGACCATAGCCACTCCGACTAGGGCCCCTACTGCTGCTGGTTTCTTCCCAAACTCTGCTTGATTTGACAAGCCTGGGGCGGAGGATACAGGTCCGTGAGTGTGGAGAAGTAGAAGACCTGTAAAGTGAGGGTTGAGTTCTAGAATCAGAGGTCACTTAATAGAATCCCTCTGCTGATTGTACGTCATTGGGCAATGCATTTAACTTTGCTTAAGCGTCAGTTTCTTTTATAAAACGTAATTGTTAATAGTATTCCCCTCGGGAGCCGGGCGGCGGTGGCACACGCCTTTAATCCCAACACTTGGGAGGCGGAGGCAGGCGGATCCCCGTGAGTTCGAGGCCAGCCTGGTCTACAGAGCGAATTCCAGGACAGCCTCCAAAACAATACAGAGAAACTCTGTCTCGAAAACAAACAAACAAAATAACATTCCCCTCGGAAAGGTAGAATTGACAATGCTCTTAGGCATTTATAAATGTTTCCCTGAGACCCAGTAAATATCTGGCAAGTGTCACATAAAGGTCTAACCAGCACAGATGTTGAGAGCTGCCAGAGAGCTAGCTAGCATCTGGAGATACCGGTTTTCCACGTGCGTTGTCGTTGGGCTGCGTGATGCATGAAACGAAAGTATCTTGAAAGGAACCATCATTCCACACTTAGCTACAAGTTATTACCTTATATAACCGTGAATCTGGCTGGGTGCGTCTTGAATTTTCTTGCCATGTTTTTGTTGTCTTGTTTGAGTGGTTTTTATTTAATTTTTTTAACTTTTGTTTATTTATTGGTTTTTCGAGACAGGGTTTCTCTGTGCCTTTGGAGGCTGTCCTGGAACTCGCTCTTGTAGACCAGGATGGCCTTGAACTCACAGAGCTCCACCTGCCTCTCGAGTGCTGGGATTAAAGGAGTGCGCCACCAACGACTAGCCTCGTTTGAGTGGTTTTTAAAAGTCGAATCTTGGGCACTCTGGACACAGAGAGAAGATGAGATCTTAGTTTTTGAAGTGCAGGCTCTGTACGTTCCACAGATAGATAGTTCTCAGTTTCCTCATCTGTTGAATAGGCATAGTGACAGCATTTTTTATTTGTTTGTTTTTTTAAGGAAGTGTTTCTCTGTAGTTTTGGAGCTTGTCCTGGAACTCACTCTTGTAGACCAGGCTGGTCTCAAACTCACAAGATCTGCCTGCCTCCACCTCATGAATGCTGGGATTAAAGGCATGCCCCACCACCGCCTGGTGCAGAGTGACAGTATTATTTATTCCTCAATTGTTGAGAAAGTAAATGAGGTAATCCCTGTAAAGCACCCCCGATTCAGGCTCTTACTAGGTCCGGATTGGTTGTAGTCATAGTTTGACAATCTAGTGGAAGAGAAATCAATTAGAAGGTTAGAAACCAACTGATACTCCTTTTTAAAAATGCATTCACTTCCTCCCCACAAAAAACTTGGGAAGTAAGGGCAGGATTGAAGAGAAAATGGCCAGCCAGTTTGCCATTCTCTTTAATTTGCTATTCTTATTTTACTTTGCTCTGGAGAAAATGATGAGTTAAGTATCTAAAATGTTGATGCAAGAATCAGTAAACTAACAGAACTAAAAATAAACAAGAGCTTCCATTAGTGATATCCCCTCCACTCATTAAAGACTGAAGACTACCATTTAAGTACAATCTCTGAGAAAGGTAGTCTTGAATGACTAAAGGCATGACACAACTTAGAATTATTCTCTGAATCTTTTTTTTTTTTTTTACACAAATCAGGGTGTCTTTGTGTAGCCCTGGATGTCTTGGAACTCACTCTGTAGACCAGGCTGGCCTTGAACTCACAGGGATCCATCTGATTCCCACGCACTAGGATTAAAGGATTACGACTCACAGCCTGGTTCTTCTCTGAATCTTAAACTTTAAATATTAGGTTTCCAAAAATTCATGATTGTCTTCTTTTGTATTCTTGTATGCTACTTGGTATAATACAGAAGAGAAGAAAGACAAAGGTAATATTTTTCTTCCAACAGAAGCTATTGTCTTGGACATGGATCCTTTTCTTCACTGTGTAATCCCAAACTTCATCCAAAGCCAAGACTTCCTAGAAGGCCTTCAGAAGGAGCTTTTGAGTCTGGACTTCCATGAAAAGTACAATGATTTGTATAAGTTCCAGCAGGTATTTATCCCTATTACTTTAGCTTTTCTTCCTCAGAAATTCCTTGGCTGTAAAGTCTTCCATTGCTGGCTGCTAGAGAGATAGCTCAGTGGGTTAAGAGTAATTACTGCTCTTCCAGAGGACCCAGGTTCAGTTGTTCCCAGAACCTCTCAGGTGGATAATGAGCCTCCAAGAGCACCTATATGCACATAGCCACAGAAAGATACACATACATACATGTAATCTAATTTTTTTTATTCTTTTTTTGTTTGTTTGTTTTTCCAGACAGGTTTTAAAATTTTTTAAAGGACTGGAAAGATAGCTCAGCAGTTAGAGTGCTGGCTGCCCTTCCTCATGGTTGCCCACACCCATCTAACTCCAGTTCCAGGGAATTCACCACCCTCTGCTGGCCTCCAAAGGCACCATGTGATACATGTTTTACATATACCTATATGCAGACAAAACATCCATACTCATAAAATAAGACTGAAATACTTTGAAAATTCAAAAACAATGAAGCAGATGAAGGATTCTCTTTGCTTTCTTTGTATTTCCCCTTTGATTTTATGAGGAATAGGAGATTAACTAACATCTCATTCTTTTCCACTAGAGCTGATCATCTGGTCAGCTGACAGTATCCTACCCCAGTCCGATTTGGAGACCTTGTACATATGATTGAATTATACAAACTAAATACATAAGTGACAAACACTTAGGAAATTAATGCAAATCAAACTTTTTTCCAACTTTTCGATCCTAAGCTATCTGTGACTACTAAATTGAGGTACCTGTGTGAGTGTGAGAGAGAGAGAGAGAGAGAGAGAGAGAGAGAGAGAGAGAGAGAGAGAGAGAGAGAGAGAGAGAGAGAGAGTGTGTGTGTGTGTGTGTGTGTGTTCGTTTATTCAGCAATGTGGATGGATACACGTGTGCCATTTCTCAGGCTCCATCCACCTTTATTTTGAATTGGGGTTTCTTGTTAGCCTAAAACTCATCAAATAGTCCAGGCTGGCTGACCAATGAGCCTAGCACTGAAATTTAAAGCACATGCCACCCAGCTTTTTCTCTGTGGCTTCTGGGGATTGAACCTAAGTCCTTGTGCTAACAAGGCAGACATTGTAATGCCTGAGCCATATCAACACCAGAATGGTTTTTATTTGGTGCTGTTTGACAAGTGAAAGAATTTTGTTAATGTGGAGTGATCATGAGGAAAAACAAAAAATGGTTCTGGGTGACTGATGAAGAAAAGAGAAAAGCCATCACCTGTTGTGAAGAATTTTTACCTTGTTCACTTTTAGACAGGAACTCTTCATGTGTATACTTTTTCTTTGCATTTGCTATAAATTTAACAGATAATTGGATCTCTGAAATATTCTAATGGTGTAATAATCTGGCATTAGGACTTTGAAAAAAATATATATATATGTTATTTGGGTTTTTGTTGTTGTTTCTCTGTGTAGACCCAGTTGTCCTGGAACTCACTCTATAGACCAGGCTGGACTTCAACTCACAGAGATCTGCCTGCCTCTGTCTTCCATGTGCTAGGATTAAAGGTGTGTGCCAACACCACGTGGCTATATATGTATATTTTTTTTGTGGCTGTATTTTTTAAGCGTTACTAGTGCATACTATATATATGACAGTCCAGTTGTTTCAGTTATCAAGTTCTCATCAGAGTCCCATGAATGAGGTGTACTACTATTCCTGTTTTACAAATAGGAAACTGTGTGAGCTTTTCCTTCTGGATCATTCAATTTAATATGACAACAATAACAAAGGCCTGCTAAGTTTTTTTTTATTAAAATTTTTTCAATTAAACAAAAATTTAAGAGATCTTGTTCTAACTCTCCCCTTTAGCTTTCATCCTGTTTGCTTGCTTGCTTGTTTTTTATTTTATTTATTTATATATATATATATGTATATATTTTTGAGACTAGGTCTCTAGATATACTCTAGGCTAGCCTCAAACTGACACTCCTCCTGCCTCTGCCTCCTGGGTGCTGGGATTATCAGCCTGTCACATCACATCCACTAGCACGGTTCTTTTGGTTTTTTTTACGAGACAGGGTTTCTCTGTATTGTTTTCGAGGCTGTCGGTCCAGCCCAGCCTCGAACTCACAGAGATCTGCCTGTCTCTGCCTCCCGAGTGCTGGGATTAAAGGTGTGCGCCACCACCGCCCTGCCTAGCACGGTTCTTTTAAGGGCCGTCCAAACGGCTTCACCCTTTCCTTTTACCCTTCTGTAAGCATGCTTTACCACTATTTTACCTCTACGGCTACACTCAAGGTCACTCTCAGCTGCCACATTAGTAAATAAAGCCTTCTCTTGTCATTCTTTGACCTTTTATGAGACTAACACAATACCTACTATGCTACAAAAACATAACCCTTGATCTCTTAGAAGCATTTGCACTCCTCCTTCCTAGAGACATATTTCCACTTTCCTTTCAGGATACCGTGCTGTCTTAGTTACTTTTCTGTTGCTGTGAAGAGACACCATGAGCATTTAATGGGGACTTATGGGTCCAGAGGGTTAGAGTCCATGACCATCATAGTGGGAACATGGCAGCAGACAGGCAGGCAGGCAGGCATGATACTAGAGCAGTAACTGAGAACTACTATCGGAGTCCTCACTGTTCTTCTTTGCATCCAATATGCTGTAACGAGGAAATCCTTTTTTTTTTCTTTATGATCAAGTCTGATGATTTGAAGAAGAGAAAAGAGCCTCATATCTCAGCTTTAAGGTAAGCAAGTAATTACATCCGTTGGGTGCCAACAGTATGTTGGGCAGAGCACTGAGTGCTTTGTTAGTTCATATAGTCCTTGTTGGCATTGCATTTGGTATAGAAGAAAGAAACCCTAAGAAGCTAACAAATTTCCTCAAGACAACCAAACAAAAATTGAGATCTAAGATAGACATCCAAGCCTTGGACCCCTTGTTTGATGGCTCTATCGCCCTTCTTTTCCTCCCTTCTTTCCTCCTTCCCTCCCTTTCTTCCTTTGTTTCTTATGAGCTGGGTCTCAGGCAGGCCTAGCTCAGGTATGTATGCAGTTTAGGTTGGCCTGAAAGTCGCAGAAATCCTCCTGCCTCAGATTACCAAGTGCTAGGATTACAAACATGAGTCACCATGCCTGGCTTCAAATTCTTAATAATAAATGTTTTGCTTTGTTAGTTATGATGGAAACAAAGTAACAATGGAGGTAGTATTTTTGCTCAAACCTAGGAAGTACTGAAAATAAAAACTCAAGTGTAGGCATTAGATACATTTTCATTCTCTTGCAGTCCTTTAGAAAATGGTGTATCAATCCCTTAAAAGTATGCATTTAAAAAAAATGATTGTGGTTATGGGTATTTTGCCTTGTGTATGCATGCGCCCCATATGTAGGCAGTACCCCTGGACATCAGAATGTTGGAACCCCTGGAACTGGAGTTATAGGTTGTTGTGACCTGGGAATGGAGCCTAGGTTTTCTGCAAAAGCTGCTGATGCTCTTAACCAGAGCTATGTCTCCAAACCTGGAAAGATGAACATTTGATAAAGTAATTGATTGTGACAAAACAAAGAAATACTCCAAGATTCCATATCAGAAACTGTGCAACCATGAATATGTGTATGAATTTTAGTAAACAGAATAGTCATCACACTTTATTTTGTCAATTCTATGATACTTTTTTTAAAAAAATCTCTAAAATCTAGTGTCCTCTATGGTTGCTGCTATTTTGCTCTAGTTTAATTAGCAATATTTTCTCCCCTTGGGATACATAAAAGGATAGTTATTGCGATCAAAGGCATCTGAGATCATTGGGATATACTTTTCAAAATGAAGAAATGTGCCACAGGCATAAACTGTATGTCCTTGTATGAACTGAAACACTTGGGATAGACTAGCAGGATTACAGAGGTTTTAAAAACATTTCCTTCTACTTCTTTGGGACTTTTTTCTATAATGAGCACTTGTTTTATAATAGCTTTTTTTCATCTGCAAAGAGTTATTTTTTTCTCTTTTTCATCTGAGACACTCCCATATATGATAGCAGCTTGTACAGGTTATTTCTTTCTATCTAGAAGTATTGCTTATGTGTTAACTGAAACTCATATTTCATACTAAGTTAGACTTTCATCCTAAAGAGAAACAATCTCTTCTTGAGACATCTTATCTCATTAGTCCAAAACACCCATCATCTGTTACTGAGCGTCCTGCCATACTGAAAGAGTCACAACTAAATATATGAGAGCCAGACTTGCTTGACCGTTACAGAAAATGGCCTTTTTGTTTGCCATGTGTGTTCCTGGTGTTTTCACAAATAAAATTAAAGATGCCAAAGATGAGAGAAGATAGAAGCCTGTCCCTGTGATACTTCACAGTGTGTTTAGAAAGGAGCTTTCTGTAGCATTAGTTTTGGGAGTTGGCGATAGTGGTTGTTTTATCAGAAATATTTATCCCTACCCTTACCCCCACCATTGTCTGAAGACCAGTGTAGTGGCTGGCTGTCTTGGCCCATTATGCATAATTGGCAGCTGTGCCTTTAGATAATACAGAACACTTCTGGGGTTGTCCCAGCCAAGCGCAATATCTTCACATACATAATTTGATCAAATGTAAATCTTTTAAACATTTGGATTGGGGGTTTATATTTTATTTGCTCATTCATTAATTCACTGTCTGTTACTGTGTTTTGTTTTTGTTGGTTTTGCTTTCAGATGAAATTTTAGTATGTAACCCTGGGTGGCCTGTCTTACTCTCCTTAGTACTGGAATTAATGTTATATACCACATGTCCAGCTAAAAGTTTTGGGGTTGTTTTTCTTTTGGTTTTTTGAGACAGGGTTTCTCTGTAGCTTTGAAGCCTGTCCTAGAACTTGCTTTGTAGACCAGGCTGGCCTCAAACTCACAGATCAGCCTGCCTCTACCTCCCAAGTGCAAGGATTAAAGGTGTGTGCCACCACTGCCCAGCCAAGCTAAAAGTTTTAATTATCAAAGTTAACATTATTTCAGGATTGACTGGCTGAACTAGTTATAAAACTTGTATTAAAGAGACTTCTATGCAATGGGCCAGAGGACCAGCTTAGCTTATAATGAACATCTGTGGTTATATTGTTGCATGTTGTGTGATTAATCTAGTATTTGTTGTTACTGCAATTTAAAGTCATTTTGTGGGCAGTGACTTGGCTCAGCTGGTAAAGGTGCTTGCCACCAAGACTGATGACCTGAGTTCAATTCCCAGTATACACGTGGTAGAAGAAGACAACTGATTTCTACATATTGTCCTTCACATGTGTGCCATGGCACACACACGCAAATAAATTACCTTTTAGAAAGGCCATTTTGTGATCTCCTACAGCTGCTCACCCAAGTGTTTATCAAATAGCAATACTAGTGTTGCTGGAGCCCTTAGCTAACAACTTGACTCTGTACTCAGCTTCTTGTCTGTGTGAAGAAAGAAGCGGCATAAAATACATCAGATGGCAAAGTGAATTTATTCACAGTTATGTCCCAAAGTGGAGAGAGACGGCTATTCTCAGTTTCACTCTGCCCTCCCCATGGCACTGTTGCACCTTTAGAAATGATACAGAGCCTGGAAAGATGCATAGGTAGATTTAACTGAAGCTGGACTTAGACAGTTCAAAAAAAAAAAAGCGTAATTTCAGTTAGGTGGTGGTGGCACACACCTTTAATCCCAGAACTTGGGAGGTAAAAGCAGCTGATCTCTGTGAGTTCAAAGCTAGCCTGGTCTACAGAGTTAGTTACAGGACAGCCAGGGCTACACGGTGAAACCCTGTCTCAAAAAACAAACAAACAAAAAATCCTAACTTCAAGAGCACATCATTGCATTACTGTTGTGTATTAGTATTTATGGTACTGAGATTTATAACAGGAAATACATATTTGATCTTAGTCATCATTCCTAGGAACAAGCTCCTAAATTTAGAATTTAAGTGTTGAGATTAATAAAGATGAATGGAGAATCTTTTGTTAGGAATAAAACTTTTCTACCACACCTGAGCATACAATAATGGACAGCCTCCAAAGGGTTGGGGAAGAAGGGACAGTTGCTAAGAAGATAACTAAGAGTGTTACAGCTCTCAGCTCTACCTATTCCAGTCTCCAGGAAAAACGAGGAGGGTGGTAGGTGAGGTAGGAGGATTGCTGCAAGTTTGAGTCTAGCCTGGGCTACATAATGCATTGTAGGCCAAGCCTAGGCTACAACGCAGGACCTTGTTTCAAAGAGAAGAAAGGTTTACAGTTGTCTGGATACATCCCCAGTCTCCAGTGTTTTATTTAGTCAACCAAGCCTATTTAGCAAAGCATCCATAAATTCCTGAGGTGCCAAGGAGATAAAAAAGAGGTTCTTCGTCTCTCCCTGGGGCTTTATGCTGTGAATCTTTTATATTTGACTGTCCCCGAGTTGAATCACTTAAAAAAGTTATTAATGTGTGTGTGTGCGCACGCGCACCTTAGTTGAGTTCGTGTGGGTGTAGATGCCCCTGGAGGCCAGAGGCCAGAAGACATTAGATCCCTGGAACTAGAGTTACAGATAGTTGTGAGCTTCCTAATGTGGGTGCTGGGAACTAAAGCCAGGTTCTGTGCAAAAAACAGGAAGTGCTATTAACCACGGAGCCATCTCTCCAACCCGAGTTGTGCCATTTTATAATAAGCTGGTAATACAGTATGTAAAAAAATTCTATAACCAATTGTCCATTGTGAGGAGAGTGTGGTAGGGACCTCCTGTTTATACCAGCCCATCAACTGGTCTTCTCACTGGGTCTGAAGGTGGGCCAATCCTATGAGACTTACCCTTCATCCTGTGGATAGTGTAGGAATTGAACTGAGTTTTAAGGTGTCCTGATTATTTCCAAAAATAGGTAGGTAACAGGAAAAAACACACATATTTGGTGTCAGAAGCAAAATGTGTAAAAAAAAAAAAAAAAAGGCAATTTTTCTCCCATTTAGTGCTGAAAAGCCTGTCTGAAAATGGGTGGTTTGTACGGTAGCAGTGATGTAGTGACTGACAATGAAGATCAAAGTACCAGGAGAGCATACCCAAGGCAAAACCGCTAGAGAATGAAATGCACGAGACTTAGAGCAAGCCCACGATGGTAGCTGCAGAGTTAATTATTTCTCTGGGAACTGGATACCATGCAGGTTTAAACTGGAATGTCTCTCAGGGTCTCATGAATGAAATTGGAGAGCAGGTCTGTTGAATGAACTGTGACCTTAAGAGAGAGGGCATAGGAATGGCATGGCTCCAGATCGAGCCTATGCTGTGGCATAACACGTTGTCTTTTGTTCATACTTCTAGGAAACTTATCTTTGAAGATTTTCGGGACTGGCTTTCTAAGGTTTCCAGCATTGATCTAGAACCAACCATTGACATGTCGTGTGCTAAATACGAGTTCACTGGTAAGGAGGATAAAGCCCTGCTGTCTAAAGATTTCAAGGCTTTAACTCCACAATTATGGAAAAATAACATCAGTGTACCAGGTAGCAGCAGGGTCTTCCTGTGAGAACTCAGCTCCTATGCAGAAATAGCAGTCATATCACAAAGCATAAAGCAGTGTTTCTTGAGTGTATGAGAACTATTGATCATAGTTTCAGAAAATCTCCTTTTAACTGGCACACAGTATTGTAAAACTCAAAAGGTGACATTGTAAATTCTGTCCTTATATTTCTAAAAGTTCCCTTAATGCTGATTTTCCTTCTTTTTATTTTGAATTTATTGAGTTAATTCAGAAAATGGACCATGTAAATAGTAATAGGCCTTGTCTCCTGCCTTCCCTCTTCAGAGCTCATAACCATGCACTGGAATATGTGTGCCTTTTTATATAGAAGGAAAAGTTGCTGGGTTTTGTTTCACTAAATTTTGATTCAGGTTTGCTATCTTGGGGAAATCTAAGCTAGTAAAATGTTTTAGAGATAACCTTAGTAATACACAAGAAAAGCTACTGTGTCTCGTTACTACTCTTTTATTATTTTGTTTTCTTTGAGACAAGGTCTCACTCTATAATTCATGCTGCTCTCAGTCTCACAGATCATCTGCCCATCCTCTTTGAGTGCCGGGGTTACAAGTGTGAGCCACCACATCCCATTTTTCTTTTTCCTTTTTAGTGTGAAGTCATTTCAAACTTAAATAGAAGTGATAATTTGTTTTCCTGCTATATTTGAAAGACAGTTGCAGTTCTGGTATTCCATAGGCCTGAACATTTCACTCATTCTTCCTCCATGACAGTAATGAACTTTCAGAGTGAGAACGTTAACAAGCCGGTGTTGTTCCTATCTAATTCGTAAACCTCATTCATCTGTCACTATTTGGTCCTTGATGGAAAGGATCTAGTTGAGGATGGCACACTTCATTCACTTGTCCTGTCTGTTGAGCCTCTTTTAGTCTAAAATAGCATCTTGGTCTCTCCAGGACTTCCAGGATCTTGATGCTTCTTAACAGCTCTTTCAGTCTGGGCTGTGGTGTTCCTTGTGATTGGGTGATCCTCCTTGGGACTGCATTTGGAAGGAAGGAAGATAGATAGATAGATAGATAGATAGATAGATAGATAGATAGATAGATAGATAGATAGATAGATACTAATGCTGATCTTTCTTTCTTTTTTCCCAGTCCTGCTAGATGCTTCAAAGTAACTCTGTCACATTGTTGGTAATGTTGCCTTGGATGACATTGGTGACACTAAGGTCACATTTGTCCACTGCTTTGCTTCTCCTGTCGGTGTACACACTGTGGCAGAATTGAACCTAGGGCCTCAACTTGCTAGACAAACACTACTTCCAAGCTTTATCCTCAGTCCTTTTCTCTTACTTTTTTTTTTTTTGAGTTGGCATTTAAGTTGCTTAGATTGCCTTTGAATCCACCTTGTAGCCCAGATTGGCCTTAACCTTGATTCTCTTGCTGCAGTAGCTAGGATTTTAAAACTTCGCTACCAGACCTGACTGTAAGGGGAGTCAAACCAAGAACTTGCATGTGCTGCTTTAGGATTATATAATTATCATGTTTCTCACCAAACTTTGGTTCAGTTATTTTCACGGGTAATTTTCATATTGCTAAATTACTGCAGTGTAAGTTACCAAATGATGATTTTATGGTAAGCGTTTATTCTGCTTTCATTGGCTGTCATTCCACTGCAACGAAAATTCTCCCCACTGCCTATTCATCCATTTACTTATATCAGTATGAATTTGTGAATTACTATTTATACAGTGAGCTATTGCAATTGCTGTTATTATATTGAGGCTTATATTGTCTTTGATGTGATTGGGGAGAATACTCTAGGGCTGATATGGGGCCCTCTTGCTATGCTCTTATTATCCTTTTATTTCCTAATTTCTGCAAAGCAGGATTTTCAAGGCGTGTCTCTTCTTTCCCATGCCAGGTCTAGAATGACCTAGAGTGTATTCTGGTTTCTTCTAGTGAAGAATGATAATTGAAAGTCAAGCCTGGACTCAAGTCTGTGTTGCTAGGGTGTCACCTAGACCCTTGCAGTAAAAATGCCAGAATATGTACCTCTACATATACCACAACTGTATATACATAACTGAATTCATATTGTTTTCTCCAGTGCTAGCTGAATGCTGCAAGGTTTATTCTACATTTCTTTTCCTTAACTGTAAACCTTCTTCAATTGTGCAGCGCCTAGCTCCCATTATTTTCAACATATTTACTTCTTGGATCAATCCCATCATGTATAAATGGTCCCAGTTGACTGTAGTCTTTTGCCCTGTATAGATGCCTACCTTGCTCAACCCCACCAAATGACTTTAGAAAATTAGGTTAGGCAGTTAATGAGAACAAGAACAAAGGAATGAGGACAGTGTGATGGCTTGGTTCAGTGGGTTAAAGGCACTTGTTACCAAACCTGATGGTCTGAGTTTGATTCCTGGGACCCACATGGTAGAAGAAGAGGACCAACTTCTCATGTTGTCCTTTGGTCCACATGTCCCTCTCCCACCACAAACACACAATAAATGTTAAAAAAAAGTGGGGGGGGGATCCATGTACCTATGAACAGTAAGATTTGTTAAGGCATTCTTTGGGATAGCCAAGAAATACAAACAATTTTATAACTAATAGAAATGCAATTAGAGAAAAGGTAAATTTACAGTCTATATAGTACAGTAACTGTACAGCCATTGAAAGTGATGTCTAAGGTGTATAGTGATATGGGAAAACATTCTCTTTGTAATTTTAAAGAAGTCAGCCTACAACTCACAACTGTAGCAAACAATTTCTTTTCAGTGAATATACATATGAGAGAAAATATTTTAAAAATATGGAAAAATAGTGTTAGTAACTGTTGTAGATCTGTGTTTATTCGTTGTGTTTAAAGTTGTCTGTATTGTATGTGTTTTATCACTACATTTACAAAAGAGAAAAAGTGTCAGTTTGAAACTGCAAGAGCTGGAGTTGATGTTACAGATGAATGATGTCTGGGGACTGATTGAATGCAGAAACAGAGAGCAGCACTGTACTCTGTACAGTGATCTAAATTATGCTTTCAATGATTGCAGATGCTCTGCTCTGCCATGATGATGAGCTGGAGGGGCGCCGGATCGCTTTCATTCTGTACCTGGTTCCATCCTGGGACAGGAACTTGGGAGGCACCCTAGATCTTTACGACACTGATGGTAAAATACCCATTTACCACCTTCAGAAGCCACTCCTGAATTCCATCTAGCTGCCTCGGGTTCACCATTCTGACATATAATATGTCAAAGGAAGTAGAAACCGTGTATTTAGTCGGGTGGTAGTGGTACATGCCTTTAATCCTGCACTCAGGAGGCAGAGGCAGGCAGGCCACTGTGAGTTCAAGGCCAGTGTGGTCTATAGAGTGAGTTCCAAGATAGCCAGAGCTGTTACATAGAGAGAAACCCTGTCTCGAAAAAACAAACAAAAACCCCAAAAGAAAAAAGATGCCATGTATTTGTCACAGTGACTACCACAGATAGAATTAGTGCTAGCACTAACAACCACCTCTTGCTTGACATTATATTTCAAGTGTTTGTTCCAGAGACAAAGTTGGTTAAGATGAGAAGTAGACCTTATTCTGTGTACTGTCTGTGGAAGGGCAAAAAGTATACCAGGCTACTTACTTGTACCTGTGAGTCTGCCAACAGCAGCCTGTCTGACATGAGCTCAGTTTTGTGAGTAACTCACCACAAGTTTACTAGGAAAATGAGAAGTTAATTCAGCTCTCATCATTAATAGATGGGCGTAGAATGGCCCATGTATATATGGGGTGGTCCTTCAAATGAGGCCTTGCATGACTGAGCCACCTGTGCCATGGTTTGTAGGTGCAGAAGCTAGGTCAATGGATAACAGCTGTGTTAGCCATAGTTTAAAGAGATACAGGAGAGTGATGGAGTCTCTCAGGGTCCTAAGGCATACTTTCCTAGCTACCCTCTTGGTTAGCCTGTGTCTGGTACCTATATCCTTGGTGATTGTTCCTTTCATCCAATTTTGAATTTTCAAAAAAATAAACTTCCAAAAGCAAAATAATAATGGTAATAATAGATGGACAGTGTGATGGAAGCACCTGTCACGTAGCAGACGAGCAAGTTTGAGTGAAAGGAAGAAGGAAGTATTTGAGAATGTCGAGAGCTAGATGAGGAAGCCTGAAAGTGTTGACAATTAATAAACCTGTTTATGGATGTCTTCTCTCCTGGTGCAGAACACTTTCAGCCAAAGCAGATTGTCAAGTCTCTTCTCCCTTCATGGAACAAACTGGTTTTCTTTGAAGTATCTCCAGTATCCTTTCACCAGGTAAATATCGTAAGACAAATCTGTAGGCATGAAGGCTCAGGGATCTTGCTTCTCTGATCACCCACTGTCTAAGTATGTCCACTTCCTGCTGGGCTTACTGTCTCACTAGCTTGCTTTCCTGCCTAGCTTCATGGATTCTCAAGTTAATGTGCTGTAGCTAGTGTCTTCACTCTTCATCCTTTGTGTTGATATGCTGCTGGTCTTGCTCTTGCAGGTGTCTGAAGTCCTGAGTGAAGAAACATCACGTTTATCTATAAGTGGCTGGTTTCATGGTCCTTCGTTAACCAGGCCTCCCGCCTACTTTGAACCCCCAATCCCTCGAAACCCTCATATCCCACAAGACGTAAGCATAAAGTATTTGGATTCTTACATACTAGATCATCTTTTTTTTACTATTGTGAGGGCCATGTGAACCGACATGTATTTTGCAGTACTAGAAACTAAACCGAGGACCTTGCATATGCTAACAATGAATGATGTACCCTACTTGTTTTTCTGATCTTAAAATTAGATCTTGCCAGTGCTGAAACTGGACTTTTGAACTTCCTTTTTTTTTCTTAAATAAATGTTGATGATGTTTTTCTCAGTTTTCTAGTACTTTGGGTTTGATAGGAGAAATGTAAGAATTGAGGACTGTGGAATGATGTAAGAACAGAAGTTATAGATATTAATGGATCTCGTGTATTTGCTACTTTTTTGTAAGCATGAAATTCTGTATGAGTGGATCAACCCTGCTTATCTGGAAATGGACTATCAAATGCAAATTCAAGAAGAATTTGAGGAAAGGTCTGAAATTCTCCTGAAGGAGTTTCTTAAGGTGGGCCATCATAGCCTATTTTATATGTGTTGTTTGACATTGTCATCTTGCTAAAACTGACTGTACTCAGAGTTGTTTCCCTTCCTAGTTCAGATGTTTATGTGATTCTCTTCAAATCGAATGCACAAATTGAAATAATAAGCACTGTTGTCAGGTGTATGCATGACATCCCTAGTACTTTTTGGAGTCTTCTAAGGTTTATTTTTTGTTTTGTTTTATTCATATTTATATATGCACACATACATGTTGGTGACCAAGGAGGTCAGAAGAGGGCATCAGATGTCCTGAAACTGAAGCTACAGGTAGGGGTCCTCTGTAATAAGCACTTTTAACCACTGAATCATCTCTCCTGCCCAGTACTATAATGGTCATTGTGTACACACACAGACACACAAAAGCTTATGCCCTAAAAAGGGCTTGGTACCTAGCTTATTTTCTTTCTATTCATTTGATGAATATGGTATTTGTTAATTTTTAATGATAGATTGTTCCTTATTGTGACCTAATAGTCAATGTTTGACCATGAGGCAACTTGAGTAGAGACGTGAAGTCAGAACTCATGTCCTGGCTCAGGCTTCCCTAACCTGAGCTGTAATGTGTAGTCTTCCCATAACACACAAGCCACTATATTAATTATGATGCTGTTGGCCGTTTGCTTGGTTTCTTATTGGGTAGCTCTGACTTAATTATTAACCCATAACTGTTAATCTGAGTATTTCTATGTGGTCTTCTCTTACTGGAGAAAGGGTCTGGACCTCTTCTTTCACATCCTACATCGTGACTGACTGTGCCTCTGTGATTCTGTTTCCCAGAATCCTCATTGACTCCTAATCCCACCTATCTTGCTTCCCTATTGGTCAACAGTGCTTTATTTAATCAACCAATAAGACAACATATACACAGGACTTCCCCCATCACTGAGCAAATGAGCACACTAGGTTTTTATTGTATTGTTGGTTGGAGTGGAATGAACCTGCCTTGACATTTTTGCAGATTTCTGAGAGCTGTGTGAGAGAGTGCTTCATAAATGTTGTGGACTCATTCCTAAGAGTTCTTCCTCCATGAAAACGTTGAAGGGATCATGTAAATTGTCAGAATTTTATATGTGACATTGAATAATATTGCAGAATTTGAGAGGCATTATACCATTACAAAAATGATAACATCTAACAACTGTCTGTAATTCCATTTCCATGGGATCCAGTGCCCTCTTCTGATCCCCATAGGCAATGCACAGATGCAGAGACATGCAGATAAACTTCCATATACATATAATAAATAATAAATAAGTGGGGTTTTTTGTTGTTTTTTGTTTTTTTGTTTTGTTTTGTTTTGTTTTTTGGTTTTTTGAGACAGGGTTTCTCTGTAGCTTTGGAGGCTGTCCAGGAACTCACTTTGTAGACCAGGCTGGCCTCGAACTCACAGAGATCCGCCTGCCTCTGCCTCCCGAGTGCTGGGATTAAAGGCGTGTGCCACCAACACCTGGCTAATAAATAATTTTTTAAAGTAAAGTCTCTTGTGGATCTATTTCAATAGAAAGCCAGTTTCTTATATTATAGTTGAATGAAGCTCGAATCTAATTGGTCTTAATAATAAAAACCCGGAGTCAGATATCAGGGTAAAGGCTGAAAGATGAGAGAAGTAAAGGAGCCAGCCTCTAGAGAGACTTCTTACCTCTACTGACCGAACCCTCTGACCAAAGGGCTGAGCTCCTGTCTCCTCCAGTCTTATATTCCTCTCTCTGCCCAGCCATATCACTTTCTGTCTCCACCTCACTAGTGCTAGGAATAAAGGTGTATGACTCCCAAGTGCTGGGATCAAAGGTGTGAGCCACCACTGCCTGACCTCTATGGTTAACTGGTGGCTAGCTCCACCATCTCATCTTCAGGCAAGCTTTATTTGTTTGAGCACGAACAACATATCACCACATTTGACTATTCAGAATTTAAAAGCTTATTAAATGAAGGTGCCAAGCTGGGGCCAAGAGAGTCTGTATTATTGTGCATTATAGTGCCACTAGCTAATGCAGTTTAACTTTTCCTCTGACATCCTAAGAGTCCAAGAGTTAGTGTCACTAGGGATTTCAGATTTAATAATTAGCAATTTAACATATGCTATACAACCACTAGAGGATGGGGAAATGGTTCATTGAGTAAGACCATTTGTTTCACAAGCATGAGGATCTGAGTTCAGATCCTCAGTACCCATGTGTTCATGCGTTTGTTTTCTGGAGCCAGAGACAAGAGGATTATTGGAATTGTTGGCCACCAGCCTAGTGGGGAGAGTCAGGGAACCACAAGCTCCAGGTTCAGTGAGGGACCTGTCTAGAAGAGTTCCTTTTCTAGCCTCTACACACATATGCGTGGGTGCATTCATTCATGTGCACACACTCACATACATCTCATACATACATGCAAAAAAATGTTTTTTCAAAGCAGGATTTCTCTGTATGATAATCCTGGCTGTCTTGGAACCTGGAACTTGCTTTGTAGACCAGGCTGTCCTTGAACTCACAGAGATCCACTTGTCTTTGCCTACCCAGTGCTGGGATTAAAGGCGTGCACCACTACCACCTTGCTTAAAAATTCTTCAATAATAAACTTGCAAACACTTAAGGGAATAGCCCAATGGTACTTAGCTCTCTTAGCTGAAGCTGCCCTGAAGATCTTGTATGTAAAAGGAAATATTCAACTGGGCCTCTTAGGGATCAGCCAGCAGAGCAGCTTTTTCTGTGAGAAGAATGATGGAGTGCAGGAATTGCTAACTTCTTTATTTGCTTATTTTCCAGCCTGAGAAATTTGCAAAGGTCTGTGATGCCTTGGAGAAAGGAGATGTGGAATGGAATAGCCGTGGTCCTCCAAATAAAAGGTAGAGGTGACCATCACAGATGGTTCCGTCTCTATTCGGCTCCTCCCTTTCATCTGCCTAGCTCATCTCCAGCAGGACACGTGCCTTAACACTTAGTTCCCCAGGAAATGCCGCAGCAGGTCCTAGCAGTCTCACCATTCTCATAAGTTGTCCCTTCATTTAGAGAGAAAGGTTCAAAGCTAATGGCCAGCTTTGATTGCGTGGGTAATCTCACATGTGGGACTGAAGAGCTTGCCACCGCTGCTTTTCAGGTTTTATGAGAAAGCGGAAGAAAGTAGTCTCCCTGATATCCTGAAGGAGTGCATGGGCTTGTTTCGCTCCGAGGCGCTGTTCTTGCTACTCTCCAACTTCACCGGCCTGAAGCTCCACTTTTTGGCCCCATCAGAAGAAGATGAGCTTGAGGACAAAGGAGATGGGGAAGCAGCCTGTGCTGCTGACAGCACTGAAGAAGGGACTAGCCAAAGCCCCTCAGGGCCCGAGACTAAACCGGCAGCTGTTGGCAGCCACAGTCAAGAGAGTGGAGAACAGGCATACCTGGAATCGCAGGAAGATGAAGGAAAGAAAGGTAAGCTGGTGTTAGGGCTCCCTTTAGTTTTACCTGAAACCATTCTGCATCCAAATGATTTACCCTTATCCATGTAACCACTACTTCCAGAACATCTACTGTTGCCCTGTCTCTACCTCAGGAACCGGAGAACAAAACAAAGTCAGTTCTCCTAGATCCTGAGTTCTTCTAGGAGGTGGCAGAGGTCACATCTATACACAGATGAGAGTGGAGAGATCATAATAGAAACCAGAGAGAGAAAAATCTGTTTACCTGCGTCCCATCCTAGTGTGCTCACTGGGGGCCCCAGGTAGACATGTTTCTAGGTATCTGTAGCTGACACAAAGAAATGGGGATGACTAGAAGAGAGGGCTGAGAGGGTCCACAGGAAGGAGCTAAGCTGGGAATGGAACCCGAGACTTGGCCATGTGAGATAAGCACTGTACCACTGAACTCTACCCCTAACCCTTGGACTCTATAAAATACATTTGTGCTCAAAGTGGGGCATGATGGTACGTGGTAATCCCAGATTCTGGAAGTTCAAGGCTATTCTGGACTTTGTGAAGACCCTAGCTCTTAAAAAGGAGGGCAGCAAAAGGGCTTAGGAATGTAGCTCAGTGGCCAAGTGCTTGTCTGGCATTCCTGGCGTCTCAGTTTGAGCCTCAGCAACACCAAAAAGACAAGATGATTTAGTAATCAGTCTGTCTATCCACCTTTCATGTTTTCTGCTTTGGTGGTGACATGATAAGTTTCTTCTCTGCTTTAAGATCAAATAAAAGTATACACCAGGTTTATTTAGTTACTGATTTATTTTGTGATTAAATCTGCTTCATCTAAAATGAAAGAAATTGAAACTCAGGCAGGTTTGGTGGCACACATTCATTTTGCAGAGGCAAGTGACTTGGTGGTCAGTAGAGAGAGAGATTGAAACTCAACATCAGTCCACTAAATAGTAAAGACTGCTGATTGTTACAAGACCTTATGGTGGGCCAGCAGGCCAGCTGAAAGATTGTGGGAGTGGTTTCCATGTGATGTCCTATCATCTCTAATCAGCATTCTCTTGTATTCAAACATTTGTACTAAAGTTGTAAAACATTTGCTAGGCATTATTTTGTGTTTTCTTAGAATCAGGTGTTCCCACATGCCAGGGGGAGCTGAGGCATTGGAAGACTGGTCACTACACTTTAGTTCACGACAACAACAAGACTGAATTTGCTTTGGACCTGTTTCTGTACTGTGGCTGTGAAGGTAGGAAGACGCAAGGCAATGAATTGTCTCCTTAGTCCAGGAGGGACTCTCTCCAGCTGATCCAACTCATAAGTGCTTCCCTGTGCCCACACTCTCAGTTCTAAAGCATGTTGAGGAGGATCATGAATTTCAGTGTCCCCAGATCAGACTTACATCCCTTAATCTCCACCACAACTACAGGGTCTATGCTTTTTTTAAAATATAATTGCCCTTATCAGTATATCTAACATTTAATTCCTCTAATGTTCTCATTCAATGTTAATTAGTAAACCTGTGTTCCAAGTTCAGCTGTCTGGAAAATGAGGCATTTAAAGGAAAAGGAATCCACAATAGCAGATGCTAAATGCCAATGCATAATCCCCAGAGCCCTTGCTGTTCCGCAAGTAGTCAGTCTTGGAGTGTAAGCCTAGTGCTGTTTGTCTTTCCCTTGTCAGGCTGGGAGCCAGAATATGGTGGCTTTACTTCCTACATTGCCAAAGGTGAAGATGAAGAGGTAAGTGATTCCTTTCTCATAGCAAATTCTCCTTTTTAACACATAAGAAAGTTCTGGTCTTAAGATACCTAATTGTTGCAGGATTCCTGCCTGGGTCCCTTGGCTGCTTTACCCCCAAATAACACAAGACACTATATTAATTATGAAGCTGTTAGATGTTTGCTATGGTTTTTTAATAGCTTAACCCATAATTACTAATATATATTTCTATAAGGACTTATCTTTCTGAGGACACCCTCCTGATGCATCCTCTCTTCCCCAGATCATATGGTGACTTTCTACCCTTGACTACATTTCTCAGAATCCTCCTTGACTCCTATCTATCTTGCTTCCCTATTGACCAACAGTGCTTTATTCATTAACCAGTAAGAGAGACTTATATACAGGACTTCCCCCATCACCTAATAGTTTATTGACGTAATGGTTTGGATTTTGGGTTTGTTTTTGTTTTTGAGGTAGGGTCTCACTATATGGCTCAGGCTGGCTTAAAACTCAGTCTCACGCAGGCTGGCCTCAGACCCTCCACAACAGTATGCCACCAAACAAGTGCTGAGATTACAGATGTGAGCCAGCATAACTGGAAAGAAAAACAAAATTTATTACTTCAGCCAGTTTTTTTAGCTGACAAATTCACATTGACCTGTCTTGCAGTGGCTCTAATTCTACAAGAAAATACTCAGCTTGCAGTAAAGCTTTGAAAGGAAAATCACTAAGTGTTGTGCTACCTCACTGAGAACCTATGAGTTAAGCTCATGCCCACTCATCTTTCCAGGCAGTAGGGAACACATGCATTAGGCAGAACCTTTCTGAGTGTTGCTAGTGAGGCAGAGCCTGTTAGAAATATCTTCACGGAGAAGAGCTCATCTCCTAATGAAGGATCTTTGAAAGGCTACCTCATCCCCAGCTTAAATACCCTTGTGGAAACCACCTGTGGAGAATGGCTACAGAGCTAAGAATGAGCTCTATGTTCTGATGTGTGTCACATTTCCTGTTTCAGCTGCTCGTAGTGAATCCAGAAAACAATTCCTTGGCGTTGGTCTATAGAGACAGAGAAACTTTGAAATTTGTGAAGCACATTAACCACCGAAGCCTGGAGCAAAAGAAAACCTTCCCAAACAGAAGTGGTTTCTGGGACTTCGCATTCGTCTATTATGAGTAACAGGACTGGGCAAAGCCAACTAGCATCACTTCATCATGCCAGAAACTTGGAGTCTTCATGGAGTGAAGGAAAGCATGCAGGCTAACGGTGTCCTCAGAACAGGCTGTCCTTACTGGCTGTGCTAGTGCATACCTGTAGTGCCGGCCTTGGGAGGCGGAGGAAGGGCCTCCAGTTCCAAGGTCGGTGTGGTCTGTGCAGTGAGACCCTGTCCCATAACAAAACATCCTTTTATGGAACTCATGATTATCCTCAACCTAGACATTGGTCTCCAGCTATGTACATATCCCTTGATTTTTTTTAAACCCCCCCTCCTGCCCCATACAATTCTTTTGGTTCTATAATGACTGCCTCAGCAACTTCCTTCTAACTTTGGTGATTTCTTTTTCTTTCTTTTTTTTTTTTGTGGTAAAATATATAATAACATAAAATTTAGCAGGGTAACTTTTTTTTAATACTTTGCTTTGAGGTTCTTTGTTTTGATTTTCTTTTGGCAGGGGTTTACTGTGTAGCCAGGCTAGCTCCGAACCACTGATCCTTCCACCTCAATCTCCAAGTGCTGGAACTGTAGGCCTGCGCCTCCATGCCCACCAGTTCTTAGGTCAGTGGAATGGAGCTCATTGACGAGCTCCAGTGCATCCATCACTGCCATCCGTAGCCACTGTTTCTGTCTTGCCACAGTGAAATTCCATGCCCTTCGAACAGTCTCACTTGCTACTGTCCCTTCTCTGTTAATTTGACTATTCGCCTTACTTGAATCATACAGTATTTATCCCTTCGTAATTGGCTTGTTTCACTGAGCACAAATCCTCAAGGTTCATCGTTGTTCCCAGTGATTTTTCTTCTTCACTTCTGTGTGGTTGTAGAAACGTGTGACCCTGACCATGCTGAGCCTGAGAGCTGTGACACAGTTTGAGTCATCCCAATGCTCCCCACTGATTCTCAGGACCTCAGACTTAGGTGGGTAGTGTTGCTTCCATCGGAAAGGTCTGGCTGAAAACAGACATAGCCCTGGGAATTACGTGGCTGAGGAGGAGGCCAGGCTGCTTACTGCCTGTGTATTTACTCGGAATACTGTAGTGGCTCTTAACCTGAGGGCCGAGACACGTTCACAGAGGTCGCATATCAGATATCCTGCGTATCAGATGTTTACATTATGATTCGTAACAGAAACAAAATTACAGTGATAAGTGGCAATGATTAATAATTTTATGGTTGGGGGTCACCACAATGTGAGGGGCTGTGTTAAGGGGTTACAGCATTAGCACAGGTGAGAACCACTGGTCTACTGCCTTCCAGACATAGAGCTGTGGCTTCTGTGAGTCTAGCCTAGCTTCCCAGGGACTGTGTTCCTAACTGCTGGCAGGCCAGGCTTGTTGCCGCCTCCTTCCTTTTGAAAGACTAGTGCTAAGAAGTCAATTCAGAATTACAAGCCCTCACTCTGCTTCCATTCTTTTTCCTGCCCCTGCTTTGCCCCGTGGGGCTGTGACACAGCTCTTCCCACTGGTGGGTATGCACAATGGCTGAAGGATGTTCTCATCCCCCACCGTGTTCTTTGCTGCTCTCTCAATTTCTCACCATCCTTGCAGGTTTCAGCGTGGACTTTACTTATTAATAGGAAAAGCACTGGACCTCTGAATTTCTCATATTTCTTTCATGTCTTAAGACTCCATCCAAGTACCATCTGTCTTTTCCAAAGATGGGCTTCAGTTCGTTTTCTTTGCCCCATTGAGTAAAACATTTAACATTCATAGCCTAATGAATACTTACAAGTTTTAGGTGTTCTGATATTAATCACAAAACAAAGTTAATGTTAAATAATGATATGAGAATATCCAGACCTACACTGAGAGGGCATACAACTTTAATCCCAGCTTTTAGGAGGTAGAGGCAAGAAGATCAAGAGTTCAGGACTATCCTCAACTACACAATGAGTTCAAGGCCAGTCTGGGCAATAGTAGACCTTATCTCAAAAACAAAGAACAGGGAGTGGTGGCACATGTCTTTATCCCAGCACGTGGGAGACAGAGGCAAGCTGATCTTTGTGGGTTCGAGGCCAACCTGGTCTACAGGGCTATGTTACATTGTGAGTCCCTGTCTGCAAAGTGGAGACCATCCAAATGGCGTTTGAGGGTTGTCTTCCCATGCCAGGCAGTGATGGGAGTTGTCCATGTATCCTGTTTTGGACTCCACAGCATTATAAACCACAGAGTAGTGCTCAAATAGTATTGCTTTGTTGCTAATGGTTAATTTTGAAGTTTGCTCTTTCTGAATTGCTGCAGACTAAAGGCAGGCTCACACCCTCCTGCCCTCCTTCTCCCCCCCTCCAATCTTTCCCTCCCTTCTTTCAGTTTGGGTTGCCACCAATGCCCAGCCGCTTTCTTTTTCCTTGTTTTTCTGAAACAGGTAGGTACTCACTCTGCAGGCCAGGCTGACATTAAACTCAGGGTCCTCGCTGGGCGGTGGTGGCGCACGCCTTTAATCCCAGCACTCGGGAGGCAGAGGCAGGCGGATCTCTGTGAGTTTGAGACCAGCCTGGTCTACCGAGCGAGTTCCAGGACATAGTCCAAAAAACAATACAGAGAAACCCTGTCTCGAAAAACCAAAAGAAAAAAGAAAAAAAGAAAAAAAACTCAAGGTCCTCCTGCTTCAGGCTCCTATATAGTAGGATTATAGCAGTATTACTATATCCAGCTTCCTTGGTCTTTTTGTGTATTCTCATGAATGGGCGAGAAAGAATGAGTGTAGCTAACATTTTGTCAGTGGATTGACTCCAGCAAAACCCAGGGGAAAGTGCTAGATAACGAAAGCATCATGTAAGCCAAAGCATATTTCACAGCATTATCCAACACCACCCAGCCTTTCCAGTCTGGAAACCTATGTCTGAATATTAATCTGTCTCCTTTATCTCCATATACTTATAGTCTGTCACCACAGCAGGGCCTTTACAAGACTGAGTTGAAATGCCTGAATGGAAAGAATCCTGAAGGGCTGTTCTGTCTTTGCAGAGCCTCCAGGCCTGCAGGAACAGTCGAACCTGCGGGTTGCTTCCTGCTCTGATGACACGGTTGCTTTTTTTTCCATTTGTCATGTGCCACATCATTGACGTTTCAGTGAGATGAAGGTCATAGGACAGTAGGCCCCTAAGTCTACAGTGGAGCTGAAGGATTCCTATACTCCAAATCACTCGGGGTCATGGTGACAACAGGCCACCTGTGTTGCCGCCGCATAAGAGAACAGCACATGCAGGCCGCCATTTCTGTGTCCTTGTCACACACTGCTGCTCAGAGTGCACTGCTGTTAAGGCATTAACTCCCATGTGGCTTCAGGCAGGGTCTTCACAAGGTATTCCATGGCTATGGGGGCTGGCATTTCTGTGCATATTACTGCCCCGAAGACCACAGTAGAACAGGGGGAAGAGCAGTAGAACAGGGGGAAGGCAGTGATGATGGCAATCGGAAGTGTGTAGGCCTGAGCCAGTGTGTGTGTCTTAGTTTTTAACAAAAATTTCAGAACGTTTTTTAAAGATTTGAAAATAACTTGAAGGAAATATTTTTGTACAGTTATATAGTGTAAAATGTTATAAGTCAAAGTTATAAAAATTATAGTTTAAGATAAAGGAGTTCTATTACATAAGCTTAAGGCTATTGAATATAGAGTATTTTTAACATGCTGTATGGGTTGGAAGCCTGAAAGCTTCTGCCTTGTTTGTCCAAGTACACTGTCACATTTGCACAATGAGCTTGCCTCAGCTCATGACTCTGCTTCATTCTTGATCCTGATTGCTGCTTTCGGCGTAGGGCAAGCATCAAATGTGGACTCTTAATACCTCGTCTTGATAAAAGCTCTGCTACTTTCTGTGTACCAGTGGCGTGTTTCTTTTAGTTCTTAGTAGTGAGCCTCTAACTCCTTTATTTTATTTACTGGTGTTTTGAGTGGGGTCTCTGTGTATACCCCAGGTCCCCAACTGCTAAGATCACAGAAGTGCACTGTGTCCAGCTGTGAACTCCCAGTTTCCAGCTGTGAACTCCCATTTTCTTGTAACTCCTTTTCCTCAAGGTGGATTTTCCTCCAAAGATAACAGCTTACTATCTTTTCAGATTATATAAGTATGCCCGTTCATTGTTGAGAAATTAAAGCAATGTGGAAAAGTACAAAAATCAGTTGAAATCTCATCCTGTGTGTGACAACTACTTGTTGCTTGAGTATGTCAGTGTGGCTACCCTGCACTGTGTCAAAAAGCATGATTCTTCTTTGTTCTCTCTTCCCTTTCTCTTGTTGGGTAGAGACCAATACAAGATCCTAGGGCAGCCTTGCAGGCAGGGCCCTGAAGCCACCACTATATACAAGAATGATATGGTTTCTTAAGCAAGTCTCTTTCAGAGACCTTATGAATGAAACAAGCAGTCAGGGTTGCACTTGGAGATCTGTATCGCAGCTAATGCTACCCTAACTGATAGACCACCTTGAAATCTGTTTTTCCTTAATGTAAACTTGTTTACACACACCTTTGAATGATTAAAAATTTTAAATGTCTGTATTTTTGCTTTTCCCCACAAAATAAAGATGTTTTGTGCATTTCTGTTATGGTGGTAATTTTTAATCAACAACAAGGACCAGTATCTTTTATTTTTAATGAAAAAGTAAATACTTCATTTCAAATTTTAAAATTCAATTACAATACAAGGGGGAAGGAGATAAATTCATATAGTAACTTCATATAAAAGACCAAGCTACACTCTGATACCCTGGTGTTTTAAGGCAGTCATACCATCTCATACAAATCAGCAGCGGTACTATGGATGTCAAGTGAGAGGAAACTTTGTCAGATGGAACACCTGTCCTTAGTTGTAGGTCACCATGGTTTTCATTCTTAGCAGCCTGGATTCACCAGGGTGTGACTGTGAGCTAATCAGCCTGGATTTCTAGACATAACCTTTTCCAGGAGCTCCCTTCTTGGTTTTGCTCTCCTATGAAGAAGCAGTCCCCACCCGCATGATTCTGAAGAGTGTGTTGATATTGTTGCTTCGAATGGCATCCCGACAAGCACTGATTACCTGGTTCTTCGGTTTTCCAACTGTGTAAGAAAAAACTCATGTCAGTGTGTCCCAAAAGGGAAATTAGAAATTAAAGGTCAAGCCAGGCACAGTGGTCCACACCCTTAATCCTAGCTCTTGGGAGGCAGAGGCAGGCAGATCTGAGTCTGAGGCCAGCCTGGTCTACAGAACAAGTTCCAGGACAGTCTGGACTACACAGAGAAACCTGTCTCAACCAAAAAAAGGAATTAAAGATAAGTTTGAAGTTTGAAGACATCATAAAACCAGGGTAGAAAAGAGTTGCATGAGTTACGTATACAAATTTTACTAACTTGTTACCTCCTAGAAAAGACAGAATTTATTACAAAACAAACTGGAGATCATCTCTAGCCAGAAACAAAGGGAGTCAGTAGAGATGAATTGGAGCTCTCTCATTCCTAGCAGAGACTCAGGTTGAAACACTGATCCAGAACAGTAGCTCTCTGACGTACTCTGCTTCCTGTGGGCTAGCCTGTTGTCTGCACTTCCAAAATGGACACTTGTCTCATTACTCTTCAGTCTTTTTTTTTCTACTTTAAGGCTATTTACTTCCTTTGGATTATGAACACTTAAGTTTTCTCAACAGTGGTTCTCAGCCTTCCTAATGCTGCGACCCTTTACAGTTCAAACATAACTCCCAAACATTATTTCCATTGCTACTTCATAACTAATTTTGCTACTGTTATGAACTGTAATGTAAATGCGGGATATCTCATACACAACCCCTGTGAAAAGGGACAAAGGGTTGTGACCCACATGTTGAGAACCACTACTTCAGCAGCTACAGCAAGATCTTAGAAAGGAACTTAGGGCTTTATTTCTTTTGTGTTTAATTTTCTTTCTATGAGAAGGGGGGGTTGAGACAGGGTTTCTGTACATAGCTTTGTAGACCAGGCTGGCCTCAAACTCACAGAGAGATCTGCCTGCCTCTGCCTTCCAAGTGCTGTGCCACCATGCCCCACAAGGCTCTTTTTTTTTCTTTTTAGAGCCCTCAGTCTGAGTGGGAGAAACCTAGATACAGCCGGCTCTGGGGTGTTGAAGGCAGGCTGCTTTAGGACCCAGTGTAAGTTATTATAATGCATCCACAATCTTGCACAATGCACATCTTTCAGAACATCACAGACAAATCACGGTGCCAGCAAAGACTCACCACGTAGACGGCCTGCTCTTTGGATGGCTTGGTTCACTGCCTTCAGGGTTCCTAGCAGTTCTGTGTGGTTGTTACATCGAATCTTATATCCGTTTAGCAAGTCTTTATTAAGGTCATAGAGTTCCATATAACGATTCTTCATTGTTTTCCTGTGTAAATCAACAGAAACCTAGCATTAACATTTAACAGACTTTTAGTCACATAAAAGAAAGAAAAAAGGAAGGAAGGGGAGAGAGTGAGAGGGAGGGAGGGAGGAAGAAAGGAAGAAAGAAAGAAAAAGAAAGAGAAAGGAAAAGAAAATATCCAGGCATGATGACACATCTGTTAAACCCATCACTTGGCAGGTTGAGGAAGAGTGTAAGTTCAAAGCCAGTGTGAGCCATTGGCGAGATGCTGTCTCAGAAAAATGGAAGGAAGGAAGGAAGGAAGGAAGGAAGGAAGGAAGGAAGGAAGGAAGGAAGGAAGGAAGGAAGGAAAAAACACCTTTTTAGTTGTATTTTCATTAATATAGACTAACTGACTGAGCTTTGCTTTGAAAACATCCAAAAGTTTCCATCAAACTGTCTTTTTTTCTCCCAGACAATAGAAAACAAGCAAGCTTTCTGAATAATTGGTCCATGGTTTGTTCAGATTTAGAGCTAACCCTCCCCCCTGGGCTGTGGATAAGGGAAAGTCAGCTCTTTAATCTTAGTAATTAGTAATTTATTAGATAAAGAGGTCTATTAATAAGTATTTCTAGAGAACAGACTCAGCCTTATAAGTTTAAAAGCACAGACCAGTGAGATGACTCGGTGAAGAAAACTTGCTACCACACCTGATAGTTTTAGTTCAATCCCCAGAACCCACATGACAGAAGATCCAGCTCCTCAACTTGTCCTCTGACCTCTACACAACACAGTAGCATGCACACACACAAAGTAAAATGAACGTAAAACAAAGAACTTAGAAATACTATTCCTATACAACAATGAAAAATGTTGAACTGGAACTCAGTGCAGTGCTGAATACAAAATGGTAGTTTCTCTGCAAACGTGGCAGCTTCTTATCACACAGCTTGAGTTTTCTCCATACTTGTGTGCAGCTGCTTGTTTTTACTCTTTTGGGGGGACCTACCACCCAGCTCCCAAATAAATACATGGAGGCTTGTTATTACTTATGAATGCCTAGCCTTGGCTTGTTTCTAGACAGCTTTTTTTTTTTTAACTTAAATTATCAGGTCTACCTTTTGCCTCTGGGTTTTTTTTTTTGTGTGTGTGTATGTGTATCTTTTCTTTCCTTCTTATTCCGTGTCTGGCTGTGTGACTAGGTGACTGGCCCCGTCTTTCCCTCACTCCTTGATCTCCTTCCAGATTTCTACTTATTCTCTCTGCCTGCAAGCCCCACCTATCCTTTCTCCTGCCTTGCTATTGGTCATTCAGGTCTTACTAGATCAATCAGGTGTTTAGCCAGGCAAAGTAACACAGATTCACAGAGTTAAACAAATGCAACATAAAAGAATGCAACACATCTTTTTATCATTAAAACAAATGTTCCACAGCATAAACAAATGTAACAAGTCTTAAAATAATATTATACAATACTTTTGTTTAAGGAAAACAAAAAATCAGAAGCCAGGCACTGGTGGCACACTCCTTTAATCCCAGCATTTGGGAGGCAGACGCAGGCAGACCTCTGAGTTTAAGGCTAGCCTGGTTTACAGAGTGAGTTCCAGTACAGCTAGGGTTAAACAGAGAAACCCTGTCTCAAAAAAATTTTACATGTATACAAAAACCCTGTATGAAAATGTAACCCCCCAAAGTTAGGGAATACAGATGTCCAGCCACTGGTAAAGGGATAAACTGACCAACACATAGTATTTAGCAGTAAAGAAGGAAAAACTACTGACACATGAACCAACATGGATAAACACCAAAGGCACAATGGTAAGTGAAAAAAAAGCCCAACTTAAAAAGCTATGCATGATATCATAGTATGTAGACAGGGTAAAACTCAGAGTAAGAAAGGAGAAGAGGAAAAGGTATCAAACAGAGGCCCAAAGGAATAAACATCCCACATCTTGATTTTAGCAGTAATCAGGGAAGCTTCTGTGAATTGTTTTCTGTATGAATATTACAAGCTATGTGTCAACTATATTCATATAAATTAAAACATGCATGTGTATGCGTGGGGGGGCGTGAGAATGCAAGAAAGGCATAAATGATTCTGAGAAGAACATTGAAGCTTATGGACACTTCATTCCTCCAGGGGCCTCACCTGTACAAAACCAAATGCTAAGGACACCAATATCAGAAAAGCAAAAGCATAAGCTGGAGACCCAGAAGTGTTGGCCATCAAAAGAAAAACTCTTACTTCAATTTACAGGACACATTTGGAAATCATTATTTTTATTACTACTACTACTACTACAATTATTATTATTATTATTATTATTGGAGACAGTCTGGCTGTCCTGGAACTCACTCTGTAGGCCAGGCTGGTCTCAAACTCGGTCCACCTGCCTCTGCATCACAACCACCACCACCTGGCCTGCTGCCCAGTCAAGAACAGTTTTAGAGACAAAAAAAAAAACAACCCAAAAAACCTTGAAGTGGCTGATACCAAAACAAGGGAGCCTCAGAGCACTCCTGAGAAACAAGACTAGAAGGAAAAGCTATCTCATCTCACCGTGTATTCCTGGCTAACATAACACCATTTGAATGTGATGAGCATGCAAAGACCTGGAGTCCCTCCACCCGGCCCCCGCCACCCCCCTTGCCACATCTCCCCTCCTCCCCCCAACACCCCTCCCAACAGGAGGTCCAAGGCAGAAGGACTGAGTGTGAGGCTAGCCTCACAAAAACTATACTAGAAACAGAAGTATTGTGTGGTCCAGCAGCCTACTTCTGGGTTACTAGCCAGAAGAATTTTGATCAGGATTTAAAAGGCTAGCACCTGCATGCCTGTTCACACAGCAACACACAGTGAGAAGGCCCATAGGCAATGAGAGAAAAAACAGCTTTGGAGGCCATGAGCTACTCAGCCTCCAAAAAGAAGTAAACTGTAAGATGTAACATGGGTGAACTTTGAGGATCTATGAAATAAGTCAATCCCAAAGTGACAAACACTACATGTTGCCTCTTCTATGAGGAATCCATAAAACTGCCAAAAACAATAGAGTCAACAAGTAATACAGTCAACAAATGGACTCATGTCTGCCAGAGGGTGAGGAGAGGGGGAAATGGGGAAATACTAATTGTTGGGGGCACAGAGGATCTTGTCCTCACAGAGAAGCACTAAGAGAATCAGGAATGTTCATCACATAGGGTGTCTTCTCAGTGGAGGAGATAAAAATCAAACACCGGCCTACATTCCAT